CATTTGAGCAGTGCACCCAGCACTGCTTTAATTTTTTTTCAGATAGGTTCTTGTGCTTTTGCCCAGGCTGACCTCATACTGTGGTCTTCCTACTGAGCCTCCTGCATAGCTAATGTTACAGGTGCACACCACCACACCCAGGCTATTTGTTGAGATAGGATACCATTAAATTTTTGCCCAGGCTGGTCTTGAACCATGATCCTCCCAATCTCTGGCTCCCAATAGCTGGAGTTACAGATGTAAGCCACCACACCTAACCCATCCTGCTGCCTTTTGTAGCTGCTAATTCATGCTAGAGACCTGGTGGTGATCCATGTCTACCTATAGCATTATCCAGCAAATTCTCTTTTAGTTCTGCTGATTGCACAAAGAAGGGAAGGAATAGAAGTTTCCCAGGTTCCACACATTTGCTGGATTTGTTTCCTGTAGTAACTCAATTCTTTTTTGTGTTTTCTATGCTTTGAAAGAGCTGGAATGTTTCAGTATGAGTAACCACTAGGTGGCAGGGGTGTTAACGCTTTCCAGCTCATAACTTCTTTATTCCCCTGGTGACCTCAATGACAGCAAAGACAAGAATTCCTTTTCCAAATTCATGAGTTGCTTTTAAATCAACTTACTTATCAATATGAAATTCAAGGAGAACCAATAAATTTCATAGACATCCTCTTGAAAATCCACTGTGATGTAACTAACTCTATCCAGAGTTCTCACCCGGGTTATATTACTAAAGCAGTTTTACAGCCTTGGGCTTTTAAGGGCATGGGAAAAGTAAATAAACCAGTGCTTGTTTAGTGCACAGCTCAAGCTGATTGCTTTCCCCTCTAGTTGCTAACACCCAATAGGACAAAGGTCCTTTGGGTTAAGGGTTCATGGTTCTTAGGCTCTCATTTCATTATTAGGATTGTAGACACATCTCTCATTTCCAATTATGTCCCCAAAGGTTTTCTTGGAGGAGATGGAATTTTAGCAGTTTTTTGAGAGAGGAGCAGGTATAGGCACATCCCTTTTTTCAATTACATACCCCAGAGGAATCCAACGTGCGAAGTGGGATCCTCTTTTAACAAAATGGACTGGGAGATACAAAGAAGGAAGGAGATGTAGAAGAAAGGCCAGGAGTGCTAATAAAACTCTCATCTTACAGTGTGAAGAGTCAGGAAAAGCTGTTTATATTGATGGAATGAGAAGATGTTTAACATATCATTTAAACTTACAAAGGTAAATTTAATGCAGAGGAATAAACTATATTGGGTTATAAATATAACGGAGGAGAAAGAAAGGGAAACAGGATGGTAGTAAAGTGAACAGGCTCAACCTCAAGTACCAAAACAAAGTACATAGAAAATACCTAAAATTGAAAAAGCAAGAAATAGTACAACAAGCATATTATTTAGAAACATGGGGGTAATAACTAAATGAACTAAAAGTACAAAGAGATAAGTCATTGCCTCTGTAGAAAAAGAAGGGAGCAGCTGGGCAGTTGAGTGGCTATACTGTGTGATTCTCACCATAATCTTGATCTTGCTCTACCTTAAGAATGGGCTGGACTGGGGATATATCTTGGTGATAGAGTGCAGCATGCATGATGTCCAGGATTCAATAATCAGCACCATCAAAAAAAGAAAATAAGAGGTTCATGAGAATAGCTGCCACTGAGTTTCAAGTTTGTGTCACTGTACCTAACATGAACTATGAAATTTAGGCATTTGCTTATCTACTTGAGGGCCACTTTAGCTTAATATGCGAGTTAGAAAGAAATCAAGAGTCTTCAATGTTATGTGTCTTGTCCAAAACTGTTATTTTCCAGAAAGGATCCATTTCAGTCAATATTTTCACAGCAGACCAGAAAGATCTTTCTGATACAAACTAAAATACTATTACTCTTTGCAATAAACCAGAATCCTAAAGAGCAAATGTGTCCATTTTACTTCCTTTGTGACATTTTGGCCTAAGTACTTTAGCATGCATCTAATACCAGAATATGGTTAGTCTAAAGCATATGAGGTCTGATCCTCAAACTTACCATTCTTTATCTTTTCAAACCCATATTCAATCCATCAGCAATGACAACTAATCCTTCAAAATACACCATAACTTCACAGTTCTCACCACACCGAAGTCTAATACTCTAATTTGAGCTTCGTCATTTCTCACTTGGACCACTGAAATAGCCTAGTAATTGCTTCCATGCCTGTCCCATGCCATTCTTCAAGCAGCAAAGAGGTCCTTTTTTAATTGTAAGGCATAGTGATAACTTGTAAAACATCAGCCTATCTGAAGTACTCACTCCATTTCATCTTCTTCTGTCTCCTTCCCTCACTCCTCCCTGGCCTCACTGGTCTCTTAGTTATTCCTGGTCCCTGTTTAGCTTATTGATGCTCTGGCCTGAAATATTCTTCTTCTAGATATCTAAATGGCTTGTTTTCTCACTTCCTTCAGGCTCTGCTTTGTCACCTTATCAAAGAGGCCTCTCGCAACCTTCTGACATAAAACTGGTATTTTCCTCTATTTCTCTAGCACTCTCTACCTGCCTCCACTGTGACCTTGCTTAGTTTTTCTCCATAGTAATATCATCACAGGAATGTTTTATATATATATATATATATATATATTTACTATACTAGCTATCTTTTCCATTAGATTATAAGCTATAGAATAGGTCAGACACTTAAGAACTTTTTTCATTGCTATATACCCAGAATCTAAAAAGAATGCCAACACATAATAGATGTTCAATAAATTCTGCTGCTTATTGATAGACCTAACATAGTACTAATGATGGATAACATATCTTAGAATGATACTTCCCTCAAGTGTGAGACCTATTTATGGGACGTGATTTTAGAAAGCATACATTACATATGTAGTAAGTAATATTAAGTCCAGTCAAGATATTTTCATTTTAATATTTTAATCCTCATTATGTCAAGAAGGTCTCATTTAGTGGTAGTTTGCCTCTAATACTTGATAATTTATCTCTAATGGGCTTTTATATTTACAGCCTTTTACAGGGAATAGTATGTGAATAGAACTTAATAACTTTGCTTTGTTTTCATTCTATTTACTTATTTACTTTGAGGTATTGGGGATTGAACCCAGGGCCCTGTGCCCTGGGTTGTAGGCAAGTGCTCTCCCACTAAACTACATCCCAAGCCCCTCATTCTATTTCTTTTTAAGGGCTCTATTTTAATTCTGTGCCTGGCATTATGTTAAACTCATTTACATCTCCCAACAATTCTAAGAGGAAATTATGATTTTGCAGATTAGGAAACTGTAGATGAATTTTCCCTTAAGACCAAAGTTTTCTTTCCTTTATTGAGATAAGATTCACATAACATAAAATATGCCATTTTAAATATTTTACAGTGTTTCTTATCACAATGATGTGAAACCATTACTACTACCTAACTCCAGAATATTCTCGTCTCCTCCCTAAAAAAAACTCATACCCTTTAGCTATAATTCCCTAATTCCTCCCAAACCTAAGCAATCACTAATTTTCTATCTCTATGTATTTGCCCATTTTGGATGTTTCATGTAAATGGAACATGTATATATGGTGTTTTGTATTTGGCTTCTTCCACTTAACATGTTTCCAAGGTTCAGCCATGATATAACATAGATCTGTACCTTAATCCCTTTTATGACTGAATACTACTCCATTGCATGGATATACCATATTAGTTTGTCCATCAGCTTATGGACATTTGGGTTGCTTCCACTTTTTAGCCATATAAATAATGCTGATAGGCACATTTGAGCACAAAGTTATTAAATTTATGCTTGAACATTGTAGGCCCCAAAAGTGACCATGCAGATAGGAGTGATCTGGCCAAGAGATTCTTTATTGTCGGGTGGGAGAGGGAGAGAGCAGAGAGAGAAAGAGGAGGGGAGAGAGAGAGAGCAGAGAGAGAAAGAATGAGATAGAGAGAGAGACAGGGGCTTAAATACCCCTCAGTGAGACTCAGCATGATCTGATTGATTAGGATCTTATGGTTCATGCTGATTGGAGGTTGGGGCAGAAGGAGGATTCAAGCTAGACTTGAGGCAGGACCTTGACCCTGGGAAACAGAAGCTTAAGGGTGCAGTAAGAACCGAAACCCATGGGCGCCATTATTGCCAACAAACATGTTTACAAAGGGGTATATGCCTATCTGTAGAATTGCTGGGTAATATGGTGATTGTAAGTGGCAATTTTTGAGGAAACACTAAACTGATTTCCAACTTGGCTATGGCATTCCCACCAGCAATGCATGTATATTCCATTTTTCAACATCCCCACTAGAACTTGGAACTGTACAATTTTTGTTTTTTAAGTTAGTCACTTAGTAGGTATCTGATTGTGTCAATTAGCATTCCCCTCATGAGTAGTAACGCTGATACTACGCTGAGCATTTTTTTCACATGCTTATTGACCATTTGCTTATCTTTGGAGAAATAGCTAATTCAATAGCCCATTTCTTAATTGGGTTCTCTCTTTTTTTTTTTTTTTGGTTTAGTTACAAGTTTTCCTTTAAAATAAATTAACTTTAAAACATCTGTTTAAAGAAGAATATTAAGTAAACAATAGTGTAAAAAGTAGTGAAGGCAATGTAGAAAACTAGTTTCAGCAACAGTAAGGAATTAGGAGCAAGACCTCTACTAGTCACATCATGTGCGTTCAAGTCCCAATTCTAAACTGCTACGTTTGGTGGGGGGTAGGGATTTAATCTCTGACTTGACACCGCATATGTAACGCTTACCCATGCCAAGCACTGGGTATAAAAGTTACGTACAGCTCTGCCAGGCGACAAGGCCTGCAGCTCTTCCGGTATCCTGTGCCCTCCCGCCTAGAGCTTTAAGGGGAAACTCATCACTTCACGACCTTGTTCCGACATCCGCCCCTAACGCGGAACTGCCGTGCCCCGCGGCCAGACTTCCGTTTCCGGGGGAGCGAGCGGACTTCCGGCGGTGTGACCTGAGCTCGCAGGGCCCGCGGGGTGCTGACGGTCGGTAACCGGGCGGCGGGTGGGTGTGGCCGGACGTGGCGCTTTCGGCCTCGGTGGGAGGGAGGGAAAGCTATCCGGGTCTCGGCGGGCGTCGGAGCAGAGGTGTGCCTCAGTCCGGTCCACCACGGAGCTAGCCCTTCACGCTGTTTGTCCCAGGCCTTCGCTTGCCGGGACTCTCGTGGCCTCGGGCCCCGGGCCCCGCGCGGGGGAAGGGCGGATAGGGAGCGGGATTGTGTTCCGTTTGTACCACTGAGTAGTTCTCTGACCTTTGGCAGCAACGTCCTTTCTCTGGCTTCAGCTGGTTTCTTTGGAAGGTGGAGATCGGACTCGTGAGCTTCTTCAGGACCGGAACTGACTGACTAGTGTTAAATACCGGTTCTCATAGGTAGGGGCGGTGTAGCTACTCAAGTTGTGCAAGGCACAAATCCTTTGAAAATCTGTTGATTAGTTGATGTTCCCCCGTCTCCTGAATTCCTCCCCTTCCCCTTCAACACACATGAATGCTCAGATATAGGAAATTTGTTTTACAATTTCAGATACTTAAGACAACTTCCCTGATGCCCATCAGTGGATCCCAGAGTCAGACATGTAGTAGGTATTCAAATAGATAGTAGGCGTCAGGTTAATCTTTCTTAAATTCATGAATCACTGCCCACTTCACAAGAGGGAGGAAGGTAGATATCCTTAATAACACGTTTTAATCATTGGTCCTACACTGTGCTGCTCTCACTTAAATCTGCCAACAACTTTATGAGAGAGATTATTTTTCATTTTGAGGATTGGGAAAACTAACTTGCTTTAGTCATTCAACCTATGATTAGTGGAAGTAAGAATCCAAACCCATGTCTATCTGACACGCCAAAGCCCCATTCTCTGAAGTGCTAAATAAAAAGGACAAGATGCAGAAAAATATTTAAATGTTCTCTAGCAGCCTCTAGCTTTATTATTAACTAGTGTAGTTATGTGATAACTTTTTATCAACATAGATAATCCCAAACCAAACACTACATGCTGTGGAAATGCTCTGTTTCCTTTTCTTCCATGATACCTGTATTGCTAATTTAATAACATCATGTTTATAACCTATACTCTGTGCCCTTGTTCAACTGTTTTGACTTTGGTGAACATTTAATTAGGTATGTTGACTGAGTCTGGCTATATTGGTTGTGTTCCATTGTTCCTGTTCTCCAAGCAGATGTTTTCATTAAAAGTGAAATATGAGGTGATAATTTTTGGCCTTTATTTTCTTTTATTGCTTTTAGAGGGACTGTGTTAGGGATCTTGAAAACATTGCCATCATGTCTGACATTCAAGAAGCTACTAAACAACTCCTGGATGTGAACCTTCACGTAAAACAGAGATCTGTACCAGTGACAGAAAGTGACATCAGAAGTGAGTCTGAGCATCTCCATGTCACCATTGGAGCCACTGTACCTACTGGCTTTGAGCAAACAGCTTCGGATGAAGTGAGAGAGAAATTGGGGTCATCATGCAAAATCAGCAAAGACCGGGGCAAGATTTATTTTGACATTGCAGTGGAAAGCCTAGCTCAGGTTTGAATGAAGCAATGTTTTAAAAAGTCTTCTAAGTTAGTCATTTAATGCTTACTTTCTAGTTTACAGACCCCTCTGGGATCCTTTCTGCTTTGCTCTGCCCCAAATCAGGTCATTTCAAAATATTACTGCAAAGATAAAAAAAACCATAATCTTACTGCAATTTCTGTTGGGTGCTGATTTGTAAGTTTGACCAACTTTTTAGTTTGCTATATTTATATTTGTAATGTGAATGTATTTACACAATGCATTTTATAAATATATCTTATAAATATATTTATGCCACATTTTAGAAGCAAGTAGCATTTCCTGATGATTGAATTCACTAAAATGAATCCTGTGTGACTTATGAGGAAATTCTGAGTGTCTGCTACCCTCCTTTTATTTACTTCAACATCTAGCTGAACTTTAGAGTTTGGTGATGAAGCACAAAAGGAGAGGTTTTCTAACTGATGTCAAAAGACATTCTTGCTCAAAAGTACTTATGAATTACTGCAAATGAGGAGTGGAGGTCAGCAAATTGCCATTCTACTATAACAAAAGCTAAAATGTATCTCATTACCTCACAAGCAACATGAGGTCATGGATTGTTGTCTAGGCTTCTTGGCCAGTATATACCAAACTATTAGAATCTAACATAGTAGGTACCCAGGAATATTTGTGGGATTAATTGGTATTTTGCATCGAATGTTTTAGTTAATGCCCTCAGCAGTTTTGTGAGGATATGCACTGTTTGTGTGTACGACTGTCATTAATCATTATGTGTAAGAGGGATAAGTAGTTTGCTTGCCATCATTCAGCTAATCATCACAGAGCTAGAGCTCAACCCTCATGCTCTTAGCCACTACAGTATATATCACAGAGAGCCATGAGGGAGACAAGATAAAGCCCCACTTAACTTTCTACATTTTTCCCTTCTCCAAACTCACAGTTTCTGTCCTTTGATCTATCCCTTTCTCTAGGGAAAAGCAAAAGCATGATGGGTAACCAAACGGATGGAAAACTAGGGAGATGGGGAATTTTTGAAATACAAAATGTAGATACCAGGTGCTTTAAAACTATTATACTTTGGTGGTGTATACCTGTAAGCTTAGCACTTAGGAGACTAAGGCAGGAGGATCCTAGGCCAACCTAGGCTGCATAGTGAGTTCCAGGCTAGCTGGAGCTACATAGTCAGATTCTGTCTCAAAACAACAACAAAAAATAATTATGCACTTTTTTTCTGTGGGTGGGGTTAACCACATAATGTAAATATACATAATTTTGGATATGTTGTTTTTCAAAAGAAATTTGTTTCTAAAATATTTTTTTCTTCCTAGGTTCACTGTCTGAGGTCAGTTGATAACTTATTTGTGGTTGTTCACGAGTTTAAAGATTACCAATTCAAAAACACAAAGGTGAGCTATCCCAAGAATGATAGCTAGTTCCAGCCAACCTCCCTAAAGAGAGTATTTCTGTTTTTCACAGTCTGCCTATCATTTAGCATTATTATTATTGCTTCTCTCCTCCCTGCCCCCTCCCCTTTTGCCCCATCTCCACCAGAGGTGGAGGAGCAGTAATATTCTTCAGCTGACTTATGTCCCCAGCTCCTACTTTTATAATAAATACTAGTAATCTTTTACAGTAAAATAATTGAGCTTTTTTTTTGACAGCCATCCCAAAAGTTGTTTTTTAAAATAAGTTTTGAAAAATACTGATGTTTATAAGAAGAAAAAATTGTTTAACTTGCTTACAAAAGATGTGAGTCTTAGGTTAGCTTTGCTGAGAGATATATGTGGTTCCAAAATAGAATTCTTCCACTATGAACTAAAGATCAAGTGATGTTTTGTGTCCTCTGTACTTTCTCACCATTCTACTTTTGTCTTGCTTTCTTTTCTAATTTCATTTTTTGAAATGAAGCCAAAGTAATTATTTAAATACTCCTTCAGTTGTTAAGACAGCAGCTTTGTCTCTATCTTGTATTTGTCATCTTACTCCTAAATATTCAGCTACTTGTTAAACTGAAGATTGAAAATAGATATCAGTATGGTGATAAGTTTTTTTTTCCACATTCCTTTTTGGTCAGGTTTCCAGAATGAAATGCTTAAAAACTTAGTTCTGCCTGGAGTGGTGACTCATATCTGTAATAATCCTAGCTAGTCAGGAAGCAGAGATTGGGAGGATTGTGGTTCAAGGCCAGCCCAGGCAAAAAAGTTCTCAAGACCCACATCTCAATCAATAAAAGCTGCTCTTGTTGGTACATGCCTGTCATCCCTGCTAGATGGGAAGTATACATAGGGGAATTACATTCTAGGCCAGTCAGGCATACGCATGAAACCCTATCTCAAAAATAACCAAAACAGAAAGGGCTGGAAGCATGGCTCAAGTGGTAGAATGTCTCCTAGCAGGCACAAGGCCCTGAATTCAAACACACATGCACACAAGTACACACACATACCCCACCACCAACAATAACAAAAACGCGTTTTTGGTTTTTTTTTTTCCTATCGTTAGTGCCTCTTTTAAAAAGAATCTTTTTATCTGAAGGTGTGGCTCAAACAGTAGAGTACCTACCTCACAAAGCCCTGAGTTCACACACCAGTACCATGAAAAAAATAAATATTTTTTAAAAATAAATAATCTTTTTAAAAACAACTGTGGTTTACTGCCTAATTCTGTATTTCCATCAGGGTATCCAAACCATAATTCAAAAACCAATCCAACTGATATGAATCCAAAGCTTAGGGAAAAAACCAGATCTGAAAGAACTCGTACTAAAAATAGGAAAAAATTTTATTAGCTACAAGTGTAGTAGTATAACCCTTCATACTTTGTTCTTCTACTGTGCTAGGGATAGAACACAGCCTCTTGTACATGCTAGACAAACACTTAACTGAACTACACCCTCAGTCTTAGTGCATTACACTCCTAATAGTCATTGCCAACTAAGTCATATCTATGAAACTAATAGATACCAGGCAATCTATTGAAAAGACTTGCTGCTAAGTATTTTAGAATTCTGATCATTAATTCTGTACCTGAAAAATGTTATCAGTCATTTAAAAAAAAACAAAAACCTTCTATCTTAAATTCTTGCCTGTAACTTGCTAGGGCATTGTTAATATTTCCTGCAATTTTTTTTTTTTTTTTTTTTTTTTTTTTTGTAGTACTGGGGCTTGAACTCAGGGCCTACACCTTGAGCCACTCCACCAGCCCCCTTTTTTTGTGTGTATGTGATGGCTTTTTTCGAGATAGGTCTCATGGAACTGTTTGCCCTGGCTGGCTTCAAACCTTGATCCTCCTGATCTCTGCTTCCTGAGTAGCTAGGATTATAGGCATAAGCCACCAGCAACTGTAACAGAATAATACAAATTTTAGGATGGCAAAAATGCAGGAAATTTGCTGGGCATTGGGTGCCTGGACAGAACAATACAAATTCTAGGATGGCAAAAATGTGGGAAGTTTGCTGGGCATTGGCGGCCCATGCCTGTAATTGTAGCTACTCAGGAACCAGAGATCAGGGAGGTTTGGAGCCAGACTGGGCAAACAGTTCCATGAGCCCCTGTCTCGAAAAAAGCCATCACAAAAAAAAGGGGGGGTGCTGGTGGAGTGATTCAAGGTGTAAGCCCTGAGTTCAAGCTCCAGTACTGCCAAAACCAAAACAAAACAAAACTATTCTGGGCAATTTTGATCTCTAATTATAGGTGAATTTGATTATTATGGAATGATACTACATAAGCTAGCTTCTCAGAGTTGCCTTGTAAACTGCGGAAAAGGTTCCTAGTGGAAGTTCCAAAGGAAGAGCAGCAAGGCTTATATCTTTGGGTGTAAGAGATAATAATAGATAGCAGCATGCTTAAATTATTTCCCATCTTCTTTGACCCTTCCCTTCCAACTGCATGCCAATTTGTAACATTTACTTTCTGTTTCATGCTCATATTCACCATATTTGTTTATTTTACTTACATAGCTAAATAGATTATAAGAACATTTCTTGGTTTTTTTTTTTTTGGTGGGGAGGCGGGTGGTATTGGGGTTTGAACTCAGGGCCTCACACTTGCTAGGCAGGCAGTCTACCACCTAAACCACTCTTCCAGCTCATAGGTACTTCTGTTTTTTGGGGGGTTTTTTTGGCCATACTGGGGTTTGAACTCAGGGCCTCACACTTGCTAAGCAGGTGCTCTACCACTTGAGCTACTGCACCAGCCCCTATGTACCTATATACATTTCTTACATTACAGTTTTTCTTTTTAATCTCTTGAATGGCATGAGTTCAGAAATACTTGTCTTTTGCCTTTATATTTGGTTAGTAGTTTGAGTATAAAATTTATAGTTAGACCTTTTTCTTTAAAAGAATCTTGTGTTCATTCTTGTTTACCATCAAGTGTTGCCATGAAAAATTCTGAGACCATCCTGATATTTTCTTACCCTTATTTGTTGCTTTCTTGATTTTTTGCTTGATGGCTAGATGATTTATTTTTTAAATCTTTGAAGTTTAGTCAGTTTATTAGAATGAATCTTTTTTTTTTTTTGGAGGGGGGCAGTTAGTACTTGGTTTTGAACTTAGGGCCTCACCTTTGAGCCACTCCGCCAGTCCTGAAATTTTTTTGTTTCATTATTATAAATCCCTTTCTTAGGAAAACTAATTATACATATGTGGGATAGCTTTTGACCATCTTCTATATCAGTTTCTGTTCAGTTCATTTTATTTTTTAATTCTTTTTGTTCATTACCATTTTATTTGCTTTGTTTTTCTCCGCATCCTTTATTGCATTTTTAGCAGTCTTATGCTCATTTCAGTATGATCTGCACTGGTTTTACTTATTTTTTTATTCCACATTTTCATTGAACTCTGTAAACTCTTATTCCATCTCCTGGTAGCTTACCTCATTTTCTTTCTGCTTTTATAGCTCTGCTTTAACAAAGTTATTTCCTCATTGTATTTATTTAAGTCTTGTGCTGGTAACTTTTTATAATTGCTTATCTTTAAATGAGAGAATTAGTCTTAGAAGTACCTTGTATGAGAAGTTCTTGTGGGGAACCATGAAGGTTCTAGGCCAGTGGAGCTCTGTGGTTGGACACGTGATTGTGGGCAAATGACTTCTTCTTTTTCTTCTTTTTTTAAATAGCTTTATTGAGGTGCAATTTCCATATCATTGAGTAATTTTTTCACCTTTACTTCTCCCTAGTTACACGGATCAGAGCTTCAGGGTTATTCACAAAGCAGAGCACAGTTTCTCTCTGTATCCAGTTGGATTCAACCAATTGTAGATCAAAATTATTTGAAAATAATTGAGTCTATACTGAATATGTACAGACTTTTGTTGTACTGCATACCATTTACATTGTATTAGGTATTATAAGTAATGTAGATAGAGATGATTTAAAGTTATTTAGTATCATGTGCAGAGGTTATATGGAAACAATACACCATTTTATACAGTAGACTTGAGCATCTGCAGATTTTGTTATCTGTGGAGACTTCTGGAAACAATTTCCAAAGGATACCAAGGGACTATTTATCTCCATAACTACCTCATCAACAGGCTGTTTCCAGCAAATAAAGCATGTCTGTGAGTGTCCTTGTTCACATTTCATTTCACCTGATGGCAATGGAGGTCTATGGAAGCTCCCTCTATCAGTCCATGTACTTCTTCCCTGCTTTGCCAAACAAAATTTACCTGCTACCTGTCTTGTAGACTGTGCTTTATCTTTTTGTCTGAGATCTATAGACCTTCTCCATGTCTTTCTCCACCTCTGTTTGACCTTTACTACAGCTGGGAATCCTTATGTTGTACTGCACAGTTCCAAATAACCATGCCAGTTCAATTAAGGTAGAGTTGATCTGTTGGTTTTTCTTTTAAAACAGTTTCCAAAGAAAAAATGACTGTGCCAGTGTTATTTCACCGTGTTAAATTAACTGCCAGTCTACTGGATGATCTTTATAGGAAAATTACTTGTAAATAGATACGAATCATGAAGTTTAATACTATTTCAGCAGGTTTCAAGTAGTATTAAAATCTCCACAAGTCTCATTGATGGAAATGAGTCAGCCCTATTTCCTTTCTGCTTTAATCTTTAGTAACATATACTCTCAAAACCAGTGCTGTTTAGCACAACTTTGTGATGGAAAGTCCTGTTTTAACCTTTACTTCTCCCAAGCCTCAAGAGATCAGCAATTTCAGGCTTTTTCATAAAGCAGAGTACAGTTGCTTTCTATTTCCAGTTGGATTCAATCTACCAAAGATGAAAAATACACTAACCTCTAGATGTTAGTATGTAAAATGTGGCAGTGACTGAGGAATGTTTAATTTTCTGTAATTTTCATTTAAATTTCAATAGTTGCATGTGGCTAGTGCCTGTAGTATTGGACAGCAGTGTTTTTTACTTCCCATTTTAACATCTAATTACATATCACCCAGCAGTTTATTAACCAGTTTTCGTTTGCCAGTACTATTCTTGCTGTGTGGCTTATTGCAGAAGTCAAGACAGTTTAGGTCCTTTCCACCAAGCACGCACTTCATGGGAGGAGCCTTGATGATAAAAAGTATATAAACCTAGTAATCTTAGAGAGCGTTAAGCACTGTAAATAAAATAAAACAGGAAGAGAATGACTTCAAGTAGAACAGGCCTCTCAGAGGATGTGCCTCTTAAATTGCTATTAAATAATGATAAAGGCACCTGTAGTGTGAAGAGACCATGTGAAGCAAGTATCTCCCAAGCAGAGGTAGAAGAGACAGAGAATGGTCCTTAAATGACAGTAGGAGAAAGAAACCGGAGTCAGATTTTGTTGGCCTTTTTTTGTTTGTTTGTTTTTTTCATTTAGCTGTATGAGGGTTTGAACTCAGGGCCTCATGCTTGCTAGGCTGGTGCTCTACCACTCAAGCAACAGCCACCTGGTACCCAGTATCTGTTTGGCTTTTTAAGGAATTTAGCTTTTTTTAGGTGTATGACTTCTCGTCTTGGCAGCCACTGGATAGTCACTTGAGTAGGGGTCACAAAGAAGGGGCCTCAGTTTCTCATCACCTAGTAACCCCACCCTATTGGGTAATAAAACCCCAAGCTCAGCTTCAGCATAGTTGTCCAATTGCCTGTCTCATGCCTTGAGGTGTACTTTCACTTTTGCTAATAAATTATTCCTTAGTTTAAAAAAAAGAAATCTTTGCTTTTGAAGTAGTTACTATGTATAGATAACCCAAAATTCAGAAGATCACAAGTTGCCCTCTTCCCCTTCTTGTAGGTAGCTTAAGTTTTAATCTTAGTAGTTTCGTAGTATTTAAATTTTGATCTTAAAGCCGTACTTCTAATTTACCATTCTGTCATATTATTCTTTAGTAGCTTAATGTGCATATATCCCGATTTGTCATTGAAATTTGAATTTTCCTTAATTGCAGGCATTATTTTACTCTAGTTCTGCATTCCTCTCACCTCCAGCATAATGACCAGTGTAGTCTGGGAGCAAAATAGGGATTTATTTGTTCAGTTAAAGTGGAGAGAAATGAATGGGTTTCATTCTTTGTCCTTTATAGGAAGAAGTTCTAAAGGATTTTGAAGACCTGGCTGGAAAACTCCCATGGTCAGTCCCTTTAAAAGTATGGAAAATTAACACCAGTTTCAAGAAGAAAAAAACAAAGCGCAAAAAGATAAATCAGAATTCAAGTAAAAGGAAGATTGATAATGGACAAGGAGACAAATTAGATGAGCGAGATGTCAAGAAAGAGTTCACCAACCATACTTTAGGTTCACATATCTTAGACTTTTATGAAAATCCAGCCATCAAAGAAGAGATATCAACACTAGTAGGTGACTTGGCATCTTGCAAAGATGAGACAGATGAAAGAGCAAAGGAAGAAACTGAGTCTCAAGTGCTGAAGTTTAGAGTCACATGCAGCAGAGCAGGAGAGAAACATTGCTTTACCTCAAATGAGGCTGCAAGAGATTTTGGGGGTGCTGTTCAAGAGTATTTTAAGTGGAAGGCTGACATGACCAACTTTGATGTGGAGGTAGGTACAGGCTCTGATGATTTAAGAAGATTGTCACAAGTTCGTAGAATTTTCAGACTTACCCACTACCGGGGACAATTAAAGTGGGGCAATAGACCTAGAATAGCTCGCGCCATGAAGACCTGTTAACAGATACAGATCCAAATTTTGATTCCACAACTGTGTAACATTGGACAAGAATGTCTGAGTCTGTTTCTAATGGAGATAATAAAAGTATATACCTTTAAAGTTGTACTAAAGGTAAATAAGGTATAAACTATTTGATGCAACACCTTGGTACATGCTAAGTACTCAACAGAAAGGAGCTGTTAAGCCTCAAGTATTCTAATTTCTTTTCCTCTCTCCCTCGGTCCCTCCTTTCCTTCGTAATAGTAACTAGAGACTTGAAACCTCTGATGGTTTAAAAGATCCTTAGCAGCTGACATTTTTACCAAGAAGTCAATTTCTATTGCTTTTGGGACACTTGAATCTAGGGCAAGTCTCTCTGTAACTTTTTTTTTTTTTTTTGCATGTCTGATCAGGAGAACAAGTACCCCATTCTTTTTTTCTATATATAACTGCCATGAGAATGAATAGGCTAATTAGAACAGTGATGTCCAAAAAGTTAGCAAGGTGGCTCAGAGGACAGATACTAGAGCCATGCTGTTTAGGTTTAAATCCCAACTTAGGTGCTTATATGACTGGGCAAGTGAGCTGAGCTGATGTCTTTATGCCTGAAGTTGCTTATCTACAAAGGAGATATAATACCTAGCTCAGAGGGGTTAATGTGAAATGAGGTCATGAGTGTAGTAAGACTGTCCATGTTGCTGCTACTGTTGGTAAAGTCACGAAATTTTATTTTAATTTTTTATTTATTTATTTATTTGGCAGTACTAGGGTTTAAACTCAGAGCCTCATGCTTGCTAGGCAGGGACTCTACCACTTGAGGCACTCTACCAGTCCTTTTATTCCTATTGAGTTTTTTTGAGATAGGATCTTGTGAACTATTTGCCAGGGCTGGCCTCAAACAGAAATCCTGATCTCTGCCTTTCAGGTAGCTAAAATTACAGATGTGAGCCACTGGCACCCTTTTTTTTTTTTTTTTTTTTTTTTTTTTTTTTTGTGGTTCTGGGGTTTGAACTCAGGGCACACTTGCTAGGCAGGGGCTCTACCACTTGAACCACTCTACTAGCCCATGAGGAAATTTTAGATGGAAGATAGGGAGCATTTTATTTATTTTTATTTTTATTTTTAGTCAAATAGTTCAATTGTATGTTAGGAGAACTGTAACTAGATCCAAAAATAAATTGTCCTGCCATAGACATTATTACTTGAGTCAAGTTTTTAAAAGTACTAAGGCCGAGCACAGAGGCTCACAACTGTAATCCCATCTACTTGGGAGGTAAAGACCAGAAGCCCAGGCAAAAAGGTATCAAGACCCCATCTCAACCAATAAGCTGTGAGTATGTTGGCATACGTCTGTCATCCCAGCTATATGGAGGCCATAGATAGGAATATTCTGGATCAGGCTGCCCTAGGCAAAACTCAAGACCATATCTGAAAAATAACCTAAAGCAAAAAGGGCTAAAGATAATGGTTCACATGGCAGAGCACTGTGAACTATTAAATGCAAGGCCCTGAGTTTAAACCCACCCCCAAAAAAAACCTAAAAAAAGGAAATACAAAGAAAACAGTAGATGAAAAGCAAACATGGCAAGTGCACAGTTGGTGATTGTGGATAAAAGGTATATTTAGGAGTTCATTATGCCAGCAGTCTTGTCGCAGTTCTATGTGCTTGGAATTTTTCCCAAAAGAGTTAGGAATTTAAAAATATGTATTTAAAAAAAACATAAGCCTTCAAAATGTTTGTATTATAAAAATTAGGGGGTGGAGAATCTGTTTAAAGCAGGCTTTTAAATATAATGAATGAGAAGAATAAAATAGATTTTAAAATTAAATGAAAAACAGTATATACTATGCTTATCTATGTGAAGTTCAAAAAATGGCAAAACTAATTCATGGTAGTAGGATCAGATTAATGATTACCTTGGGTTAGAATTGACCAGGAACCTCCTAGAGTGCTGGAAATACTCCATATCTTTGGGTGGTGTTTACATAGTATACACAGAGGTAAAAACACTGGGTTATACACTTAAGATTTGTGCACCTTAGTGCATGCAAAGTATACCTCAATAAAAAAGGGTTTTTTTAAGCCTCCAATAAAAAGTCTTAGTAAACTGGGGATACTGGTACACGCCTATAATCTCAGCACTTGGGAGGCCAAGACAGGAGGATTGCAAGTTTGAGGCCAACCTGCGCTACATAGCAAGACCCTGTCTCAAACAAATAAATAAAAGTCTTAGTAATAAGTGCATTTTGAACAATCCTAAAACTATTTTCTTTCATCATTGTCTTTAACTTCCCCATAGGTTCTCTTGAATATCCGTGATAGTGAAGTCATTGTGGGCATTGCACTAACTGAGGAGAGTCTCCACCGAAGAAACATCACACATTTTGGACCTACAACTCTTAGATCAACGCTTGCCTATGGGATGCTCAGGTAAGAGAATGGTTTCTGTGCTGTCCAGATTAAAACATCACTTTGACTCTTCCCTTCAAAACACTTAGTTATTTTAGTAAGTTACTGTGTTGGAATCAAGTGGATAAAGAATAGGATTAAAAAGCTGCTGATCTATTTCTTTCCCTATATCCAATGTACACTGCTAGTGATCCTGAAGATATCCTTTAATGCCTTAGTTTTCTTGATTTAAAAATCAGAAGAGTTTTTTTCTGCCTCTCGAATGGGGTAGCTACAGTTCTGTTTAGAAAGGAGATACTGTGTGTTGGGAAATAGAAAATTTTGGTGTGCTTCATTTCTGTGCAGTGAGGCAGATGAAAGTACAGATTTTTTTTTTTTTTTTTTTTTTTTTTTTTGGCAATACTAGAGCTTGAGCCAAGGGCCTTGCAGTTCTTAGACAGTGCTCTACCACTTGAGCCACACGCAGCATACCTTTTGTTGTAGTTATTTTTCAGATATGCTCTTGAGTTTTTTGCCCTGGCCAGCTTAGAACAACATTCTCCTACTTATACCTGCCAAGTACCTGGGATTACAGACACACCACCACCACGCCTGGCTTAATTGTTGAGATGGAATCTTGCTAGCATTTTGCCCGGGGTAGCCTCAAACCTGGATCCTCCTGATCTGTGCTTCCTGAGTAGCTTGGATTATAGGTGTGAGGCACTATGCTTGATCTAAAACATAGATTTTTAAAATGTGTATAATGTATAAGTGAAAAGAGAGCTTTTGTTTATTTATTTTTTATTTTTGAGACAGGGTCTCACTATGTAGCCCATACTAGCCTGGAATTCACTATCTTGCCTCAGCCTCCCAATGCTAGGATTGCAGGCGTGTGCCACCACACCCAGTGCTTACTCATATTTTCAAATATACTCATAGCTACCTAGGAATCATACTGGAATTTTCACCTTTCAGAGTTCAGGACCTCATTTTCCCTCTCGTTTGCCAATCTGCCTTTTACTGGGTGCTTCCTTCTACACTTGCACAAGTTTATCTCTTTAAGATACTGATTTCAAAAATGCAAAGTGGGTTGGTATTATGTAAGATTTAAAAGATTGAATGTGAGGATTGAATGCTGAAACATATGCAAAACACCTGTCATAAACTTTGCCATACACTGCCTGGCAGATCATGGTAGGATGGTACTTGTACTTTCTTCCCTTCCTACCTTTGCTTCCTTTTTATCCTTCTCACCTATGAAGTCATCATTCAGCACAATTGGAAGCTACTAACTCAATGACAATAATAGAAAACCAGGTCCATTTGGTTAAGGAAAATTTCCTAATATTTTAACAAACATTTATCATTGAATACTAGGCATTATTGTTGAAGCAGGGATACAGAGAGTTATTTTGGGTGCAAATGTTAGAAATCAAAGTAAAATAGTTACTTTAAAAAAAAAGTGATGATTGTGGGGGTGGGGAGAACAGGGTAGTTATTGGAAAGATGAGAAATCTTGCAGAAATTGACAGAAAAACTGAAAGCCATTTCTCAAGAAGGATAGGAACCAATCTTGAGAAACCACCAGAAACCTAGGCAGCTATTTTCTCTGTCTTGAGAGCCTGTGGGCTCTTATCTCTGCTCATCTGTGCACCTGGTTGCCCTCATCTAAATTTATATATTTCCAATTTCAAACAATCAGCTCACACAAATTCCTAGAAGAAAGGATTCGAGTGACACAGTTTTGATAAAGTATCTACCACTGGTCTAGAGATGACCTGCTTTCAATCTATTAAAAGTGCACTTTTCTCCTAATAAACTTACTGTCACTTTCATTACAAAAAAAAAGCCTACCCCTAACCCATCAGCAGTGGCTTACTTCCCCAAGATGGTTGTCAAGGAATCTGTTATAGGCACAAGGAGGCAGAGCTATATGCCTGTTAGAATAAGAATAGTGTTAATTCCTGAGAATTGTCTTGTGAGGACATAATTAGCATGCATGTAGTAAGTACTATAACAGAATATGGAAAGATTAGGACAAGAGAAGGAAGAAGAAACCTCGTGACTTGTCTGAACATGTGATACTATATAGAGGAGATAACATTTAAGCCATTGATCCTCTAATCCTGACTCCTTCACCTACTAGTTTTGTGTTCCTGGAGAAAAACAGTGGGTTTTTTTTGCATCAGTTTATCTGTACAATGAGAAGAATAATAGTAACCTGTCTAACAGGGTTGTTAATAGGAGTCAATGAAATAATGCATGGAGGGAGTTTAAATCCTTGATGGTCAAATACTAAGTGTGCAAAGTAGAGCAATATTTTTATGTTGAGGTTATTACCAGTTCACAAGGAAAGGACTACTAAATGTCTAAGTACTAGTAAACTCATACATGTTTTACTTGAGATGTTTGAGGGTTTTTAAAATTTAACAATATAGATGTGTGCATTGATTTTAAAAGGTCTAAAAGCTAAATTTCATGTGGGAATGAAATCAAATTTTGGATGATAGTCAAGGAGACCTTTAGATTTTTTTTCAAGTGCTAGAATATAAAGACAGCATATAATTATATAATTACAAGTTTATTTACATTTTTGCTGTACTGGGGTTTGAATTCAGGGCCTTACACTTGAGTACTCTACCATTTGAGCCACTCTACCAGCACCCCCCCCCCGTTTTTTTTTATCAATTTTTTGAAATGGGGGTCTCACTTTGTAGCCCAGGCTGCCCTTGAATTCTCAATCATTCTGTCTTTGCCTCTAGAATGCTGGGATTATAGGTATGACCCACCATACCTAGCCACAAATTTATAGTGCTGGGGATCAAACCCAAGGCCTTGTGCTTGCTAGGCAAGCATTGTATCACTTCATTACATCTCTAGCTACAAATTTTTATTTATTTATTTTGTCATTGTTGTTGCTTTGGTTTTTGGCAGTACTGGGGTTTAAGCTTAAGGCCTTGCCCTAAGCAGACACTCTACCTTTTGAGCCATGCCACTAGCCCTGATTCATTATTTTTAAGACAGGGTTTTGGTGTGTAATACAGTCTGGCCTGGAACTTGTTATGTAGTCCAGGCTGAGTTGAACTTGAAATCCTCCTGCCTCAGCCTCCTGAGTGCTGGAATTACAGGTGTGCATCACCATGCCCTGCCACAAATTTATTTTTAAAATAACTGTAGATTGGTGATCCTTCATACTAGTATTAGTTCTTTGCTCTAATAGCTTCAGGAATTGTTACAGCTTTTGGTTGAGTCTCTTCATACAGGGTATGTTTTTTTTTTTTTTTCCTCCAGGCTCTGTGCACCTCAACCTACTGATATAATAATTGATCCAATGTGTGGAACAGGGGCCATACCAATAGAGGTAAAAACATTTCTTTAGTTTTTAGCTGATACATTCAGAATATTCTAGGCATGCTGGGCAAATAAGACATAATGAAACCACCAAGGTTGAGTCAGTGGATCTAAGAGTTTTAAAGGAGATAACAATAGTTAAGTTAGAACTCTGTGCAGAGTCCAACCTGTTATTTCACATGACTGAGTGCCATAGGACTGACAGTAATGGCTGTGCCCTGGGACAGAGAAAGCGCCTTCCTATAGCAGCAGGCAGGAGATTGAAAGGCAAAGGGAAATGGAGAGCATGCGCAGAAACCGCAGGAAGGTGTTTTCATCTTGTGATGAGATCATACTGTTCAATCTATTTAGATTTCTGGAGGGAGCAAGTATAGTTTTGTAAAGGAGAACCTCTGGGGGCAGAACACAATGGTAGAGTGCTTTGCCTAGCATGGGATGGGAGGGGAGGGGAGGGGAGGGAACCTATGATTTTTATTTTACTCTTTTTTTTTTTTTTTTTTTTAAATCTAACAAAGCTGTATACCAAATGTTCTTACATAGTTTTCAAATTTACTGTGACGTTTAACAGTAGAATTTTGAATCAGTATATTTGCATTTATAAATGATTTTGAAGAGGGAGCTACCAGTAAAATCATTTAAATTTGTGTGAAACATAGTAATTTCTTTCACAGAAGAAACTGTAGGGAGATCCCACAGATTCTATGAGTAGGCAGAAACTGGACAGATGAGCAAGTCCCCAGCATCCCACAAAGGGGAAAATGACCCAGAGTAATTAGAAATGACATCTGTGATCTGGGAATTAAAATCCAAGAATGAAGCCAGGCACTTCCTGGCTCACGCTGTGATTGTAGCTACTTGGTAGGCTGAGATCAGGAGGATCATGGTTTTTTGGGCAAATACTTTACTAGACCCCGATCTCCAAAATAACCAGAACAAAACTAGACTGAAAGTATGGCTTAAGCAGTATAATGCCTGCTTTGCAAACACAAAGCCCTGAGTTGATCTCTCTACAACAAAATTAGAAATAAGGGCAAAATAGTTTCTGCTGGGTATTGAGGGGGTGGGGGGGAGAGGGTGGAGGCAGAGTGGCGGGTAAGGGAGGGGGTGGGGACAGGGGGGAGAAATGACCAAAGCCTTGTATGCACATATGAATAATAAAACAAAAAAAAAATTAAAGCAAAGAAACAAACAAACAAAAAAAGGCCCTGAGTTGAAACCCTAGTTCCACACATACACACAAAAAAAATCCAAGAAGAAAATCATAGTAGTCTACATGATTATGTTATGCTACTCTGCTCAAGGAGACCTGCACAGAGAAAACCAAGTTGTGGTCAAGATAATTAGGGAACAAAATAGTGGTGTTCTGTAGCATTAAGCCATTGGTATGTCTATGAAATATTAAGTAAGGCTACTAAATGTCAAGAAACACATAACAGATATAAAGAATCAAAAAGAGAGATAAGAAAATTGAAATGAGCCATTTCCATGTAAAAGTAGATATGAGACTGCCATTGTAGGAAAAACCTAAGCTGATATATAACCAAAATGAATAAAATTGTGAAAGTAAAACAGATGGTAGGGACCCATCTCTCCTTGGGGCACTAGGATAGAAGTTAAGCATTGTGAGAGCAGCATTAAATACTGTTATGCATTGCTACTAATAAGCCTTTATTGTTAGCACCTTTCTGAAAATTTTTTTTTCTTTAACTGTGCTGAAATTTTGGTTGCTGGGGAGATTTAACTCCTTGACAGCTGCATGACCCTTCTCCAGGACCCCAACTGTCTTGAGTGAAGGACAGCCAGCCAGGCAGCTGGAATGCCCTCATGCCGACACCCAAAGCAGGATTCCAGCTCTAGAAAGTGCTGCCCCAGGAAGCAATTTGTACTGGACTGTTGCCACAATAAAATAGGCACTTTGGCCCAACAAAAGACCTGTGATTGGTATAAACAGTTTTTTATTTGCATAACAGATTGTACCAGGATTGGTGCAAACATGAGGGGTACCTTCCCTTCCCCTTTCTGGCTATTATAAGCAGGGTGTTCAACTCACTTTGTGAGCAGCCAGAGACATCCTTCTGTTCCCTCAACATCATGCTTCAGTAATGGCTTTCTCTTGAATGGTCTTGCCTACCTTTGGTGAGCTTTTAACATGCAAGGTCCTGGAATAACTAGAGGGGCTTCTCCTCACCTTCCCATGATTTCTATCTGGATAGAGCAAAAGGATCCCAGTCAGATGGTTTGTAACATAAGGAGTTGACAAGGTATATATACAGATTTGTTCACCAAAGTATGAAATTCTTACCTAGAATACTTTAAAACATGTGCCGGGTATGGTGGCACATGCCTATTATCCCAGCTGCTCACGAGGTGGATATCAGGAGCAAAAGGTTAGGGAGACTCCCATCTCAACCACCAAGCTGGTTGTGGTGGTTTTTACCTATATTCCTAGCTATTCAAGGCACTTCTGGTCTGAGGCTGGCCCCAGCCAAAAATGTAAGACCCTGTCTAAACAATAAGTAAAGCAAAAAAGGAGCGGGATGTGTCTCAAGTGGTGGAGCACTACCTAGCAAGCATGAGGTCCCGACTTCAAATGTCAGCACCATCAACAAAATAAACTTAGAAGTACTATAAAATTCAGCTCCTTCTGAGCAGAAAATCTGAGTATGTTAAAAAATAATGTTGAAGAGTCACAGTCACTTGAGACTTTCATTATATTTTGTAGGTTCCTTCTACATCTTTGCCCTCTCAAGTTCTGGCATACCGTAACATCCTTTTTGTTTGAAGTCATTGTAGTAGTATAGACTAGAAAATGTCATCACCCTGAAGTGTCTGGGTAAAATAAAAAGTTATAAGGCACTATGGGAGGTACATTCCTATTCACAAAGGAAGTGGTATTCCTTATTACCAGTCAGGTAGGAGCTTTTTCTGCTTTTTTGTCAGAAACCTACTAATCAGCACAACGTATTGTCGGGCATAGGATAGCAAGTCACCTCATTCCATAAATGACATGTCATAGCTTTGTATTTATGTTCTTCTGATATGTTTTTGATATAAAACTACAAAATCCTTTTAGGAGTATGGTGGTTATAATTCAAGAGTTTATCATACAGAGCAAATTGCATTTTATTTTGAAGTACTCAAATATCCCAATACTTCAGATTATATAATCCTCACAATCCAAAAGGGTGTACTTTTGGTTAATTCCACTTGGTTAGTTTTTGTTTTGTTTTGTTTTTTTAAACCATGTTTATTTAGAGACTATAATTGTGCCAGGCACATTGCTAAGTGAGGATTGAATAAAATACTGGACCTGTCTTGAAGGAGTTCCTAAGTTAGTTTGAAGGTAGACAGGCAGAGATACAGTAAGTGGCAGAGGTGTGCACAGAGTGCTTTTGGAGGAAGAGATGACAGACAGCTAGGAGAGCTGGGTTGATATCACAGAGTGTATGTCACTTGAGCTGGATCTTGAAAACTGGATAGGAGTTGAGCAAACAGAAAGAACAGGAGGTCATTTCCAGCAGAGGAATGGCAAAGTAAATAACATACATTGTTTTGCCATTTAGAAAAGCCCTGGATTGGATTGTCTCATTTTCTGACAATTGCTTGAAATAACTTTCCCTTTAATCTTTTTTTTGTGTTTTATTACCTATTTTAATAAATACTCTTTATCTTTTAGGGAGCTACTGAATGGTCTAACTGTTACCATATTGCTGGTGACAATAATCCACTGGCTGTGAAAAGAACAGCAAATAACATCTCATCTTTATTGACCAAGAACCAAATTAAAGAAGGGTAAAATTTTAAATCATTTTATAGCATCTTTTAGATAATCACTTTTCATACTGATTTTAGTAAACCCATTGTGTCATGATATCATTATAATCAAAATGAACAGTGAGATTCAATTTAAATTTTAAGTTTTTTGATAATAACGTATATTTTAAAGACATTGTTTAACTATGATTTCCCTGGTCTACTGCAACTTTTTATTTCCATCTTCCCTTTTTCTTTCCTTATTTTTATATCTTCCCCCCACCCCAAATAGTGGACTAGTCTACTGACTTTTTTTTTTTTTTTTTTTTTTTTGCAGTGCTCATTTCAACTTCATAAATTTTAAAATACTTTTGTTTTTGCAGTCTGTTTTTATGGCTATGTAATATTCCATCATGTAAAAATACTAGCTTATTTAGCCTTTCTCTGTTATTTGGCACTTAAAAAGTTCTGAGTTGAAAGAGACCTGAAAGCCATCCCCATAATCTCTAAATGTCCAAAAGGAGATCCTGACCAATGGCCTACTATCTAGTTTAAGTCATCCAATCACTCTGCCTGAAAGCTGTTAATTTTGCATTGTAGAGCTGAGGCTAGTCTTTTGTTTGGCACTGTCTCCCAAGTTGCTGTTGAACTTGCTTGGTAGCTCTAGCTGGCCTTGAACTTCCACAGTCCTCTTGCCTCAGCCTTCCAAGTGCTGGTATTAACAGGTGTACACTGCCACACCCAGCTTAGTCATTTCTTCAAGTGAACTGAATCTTCTCCAGTACCTTCCACAGATTTGCTTTTATTCTCCCACTTGAATCCATAAAGAAAAAAATCTTACCTGTGTATTTGAAGGGCTGCAATCATAGCTGTCCTTCCTTTTTAAGCAAAACATTCAAGGCCCTTCAACCCTATGCCTTTGTGTTTAGCTTAATATAAATTTATTCCTCACAGTTCTTAAACCTGAGAAATCCAAGACCATGGTGCCAAAGCCAGTTTGGTTCCTATTGAGGGCCCTCTTACTGAACCATATACCCATGGTTTGGAAGTCCATTAGCCTCTGGGAAAACATATTGTCTATTGTTTGAGATCTATGTAGCCCACGACTCCAAATTTCATTTGGTAACACCATCAGTGTCAGCTGTTCACCATCCTTGGAAGTTCTTAGCCATCTCTGGGAAGAATTGGTTATAACGTCACTTGGTCTACACTTTCTCACCAGAGTCCTCGTCATAGCCTGCTTCTCTGGTTTCCTCTTTGGGTGACCTTCATTCTCTAATAAAGTTGCAGGAGTAGATGGTGGTCGGCTGATTTGTTAAGTTTTACAGATGTTCCACATCTTGAACACATAGGTTAGGAATCCTTTCTGTCTCACCATTGGCCTGCTTCCTTAGTAGTGTGAGGTTTATGTTTATAAGATAAATCAGGTTTTGTTTTTTAAAAAAGCATTCATTTTATTCAAGTATTCCGACTTCTTGCTTATATGCTATGCCTGAGGCTACTTTATGTCCATAGATTGGCTGCCCCCTTGTTTTTGCTCATCTTGTTTTTTTCTTTTTTTATTTTGTGGTACTGAGACCTGAACTCTGGGCCTTCACCTTGAGCCACCCTGCCAGCCCTTTTTGTGATGGATATTTTTGAAATAGAGCCTTATGAACTATTTGTTAGGCTGGCTTTGAACAGCAATCCGCCTTCTGAGTAGCTAGGATTACAGGTGTGGGCCACCAGCACCCAAATGTTTTTCCCTTTTTTGATTAGGTTCACTAGGGCTTTGTTCTTTCATACATTATCCTTTGTTTTTTGTTTTATTTACTTTTGCAGTGCTGGGGTTTGAACTAAGGGCATACACCTTGAGCCACTTCACCAGCACTTTTTTGTGATGGGTTTGTTCAAGATAGGGTCTTAAGAACTACTTGCCTAGACTGGCTTCAAATTGTGATCCTCCTGATCTCTGCCTCCTGAGTAGCTAGGATTACAAGTGTGAGCCACCAGCACCTGGCTTAGGTTTTATGCTTAGTGCATTTTGGATTTTTTTTTTTTTTTTGGTGTTACAGGGGATTGAACTCAGGGCCTTACGCTTGCCAGGCAGATGCTCTTACCACTTAAGCTATTCCCCCAGCCCTTTTGTTTTTAATGTGTGTGGAACTGAGATTTGAACTCAGAGCTTCACACCTGCAAAGGTGCTCACTGTTTTGCTCAGGTTATTTTGTAGCCGGGGTCTCATACTGTTTGCCCAGGCTGCTCTCACTGCAGTCCTCCAGATCTCAGACGTCTAAGTAAGTAGTTAGTATTACAAGTATGAGCAACTGGTTCCTGGCAGCATTTTGGTTTCTTTGATCTATTCAATTTTTAAAATTTTTTTTCTAAAATGTTGTTATCATTAAAAGGAAACATTGACAGTTTCCTTTTAAAAGTTTTTACTCAAACTGCATTTTACTTTTGCCTTGCTGTGAATGAATGTAGGACCATATGTATGCTAGGCAGATGAGTTACACCCCGGCCCTCAAGCTGTGGGTTTTATTCTAAGTACTCTCTTGACCATATCCTATAGTTTTTTAATAATTTTATTTTTATTACTAAGTCATTGGTTGTATACCTGTTTCTCTAATTAGTCATTTAAGATAGTGCTTTTAAAATATTAATATATGTATGTATGACTCGCCTGGAGATCCCTGCAATACACATTCTGATTTAGTAGGTGTGGAATGGGACTTGAGAATGTGTTTTCTAGCAGGTTCCTGGGTGATGCTGATGCTGCTAGCCTGTAGACAACATCATGAAGTAGCAGGCTCTGGACCATTTTATGTAGTTGGAAAAAAAACAAACAAAAAACCAGAGATAAGTAGTTGGAAGATTTTTATTTTTTTAAAAATATTTTTGTGAATGAGGATGAATAAAAACCTCATTTATTGAGGTTTTTATTTCAGGCTTAGTATATGATCATTTTATCTTTTCAAACTTGATAAACATTTCAAGACTATTTCTTTCCTAGCTTCTGAATATTTTATCTTCTACACCATTTCTATCAATTTTATGGTGGTTTTTAGCATTTTTTTCATACCTGTGATTATAATATTTATATTTTCATAACAATACTTTTTTCATTATTTAGTCATTGCTTTTACTGCATTAAAAAAAATTTTTCCCCATATGTGTATGTGTGTGTGTGTGTGTGTCAGAACTGCAGTTCTGAATTTAGGGTTTATACTTGCTAGGCAAGTGTTCTAGCACTTGAGACAGGCCTCCAGCCCTTTTGCTTTGAGTTATTTTTCTGATGGCATCTCATGATTTTTGCTCAGGCCAGTCTAAGACTGCAATCTTCCTGATCTTCCTACCTGTGCCTCCTGCATAGAGATTAGTTTGTTCTTTGAGATAGGGTCTTGGTTTTTCCCCTGGTCTCAAACTGTGAATCTCTGCCTATAAAGTAGCTGGGATTATAGGAATGTAACATGGTGCCCAGTCTGCATTTTTCCTCCTTTAAATTATTAAATACCATAACCCTCCATTTATGCTATTTGATTTGCCTTTAACTTTTAGCTTATACAGTATTGACTATTATGTTGTTTTTTAAGTTTGCTTTGACTTAATGGGGAGGACTTAAACGTTTCCTAATTTAAGCCAGGTGCCTGTGGCTTCTAGCTACTCAGGAGGCAGAGAACTGGAGGATCACAGTTCGAAGCCAGCCCAGGCAAATAGTTGGCAAGCCCCTATCTTGAAAATGCCCAACACAGAACAGAACAGAGCTGGCTGAGTGGCTCAAGGTACCCCAGTACCACAAAAAAAAAAAAAAAAAAAAAAACCTTCATGATTTTATTATACCCATTCCATCATATAGTGCTTGAATGCTGTAAAGTTGTATCTTAGAATTCTTTGTAATAAGTTCATTTTCCCTTAATTGTAGATTTTTAATTTCAATCATTGTAAGCTCTCTTAGGATCATATGCTTTCTTCCTATATCCTACTTTTAAGATTAGGATGTTGATGTTCTCACAGTTATTCTTAGCATTTTATAATTTGCTGTAGAGTCTCCTTTCAGAAAAAAAAATTGCTCAAGTGGTAGAGCATCTGCTTAACAAGTGTGAAGCCCCGAGTTCAAAGCCTAGTACAGCCTAAAAAATAAATAAAATTCAACAATAATAAAATTAAAAATGCAATTAAAAAAAAATTTTATACTTGTGTTGAAACACCTGTCCTTTATCCCCATAGCAAACCATCCTGGGGCTTGCCCATTGATGCTGTTCAGTGGGATATCTGCAATCTCCCATTGAGAACTGGCTCTGTGGATGTTATTACAACAGATATGCCATTTGGAAAAAGGTAGTAGTTGGTCTTTTTATAAGTAAGTTTTATTTTACTGGTTTCTCTGCTACTTGTTTTCTAACTTATTTTAAGTAAAAATAAGTCTTCAGTTCCTTTTAAGACTTAGCAGAGCTGTTTTACTGAGTATGATAGACTCACCCATTTTGATTCTGACCATAACAGAGGTTTGCTTTAAAATTACCTGTAATTCACTTCCTAGCCCATTGTTGAATTACATAACCATACATCACATAAAGACTGAGCAAGACTTGATTTTGTTTCTCAAGATAAATGAATTCTACCCACTGTCTTGGTTTATATAATTTATTGTAGTCATTAAGAGAATAAATTAATTAGAAATTATTTTTCTCTGATGCCAAAATTCTAAGGAGTTTAACACTCATAGCTTATTTCATGACATGTAATGGCAAACCTCTGGCTTCCAAAAGGCAACTGTTTTTCATGCTTCATGAATCAAATTTTGTTTCCATTTAATGTAGTTAGTCCTGGTTACTTATGTTTTAGAACAATAAGTAGTTGACTCATTGACCTTCTCTTGTAGGATGGGCTCCAAGAAGAGAAACTGGAATCTTTATCCAGCTTGCCTACGGGAGATGGGCCGTGTCTGCAGACCAGGGACAGGACGGGCTGTACTACTTACTCAGGACAAGAAATGCTTTTCCAAGGTACTGTATGTTAGCTCAGAATCTAAGCTTTAGGATTTTTAAAGTAGTCTTGGGGATCTTAGCTTGAAAAGGTGTTTTCCTCTAGTGTTTTAACTGGCAGCTATGATCCCAGGTTGGGGCCAGGCACTGCTGTCTCAGGCCTGTAATCCTAGCTACTTGAGAGGCTGAGATCTGGAGGATCACCGTTCAAGTCCAGCCTGGGCAAATAGTTTTCAAGACTCCCATCTCCTCTCCAAAATAACCAGAAAAAGTGAACTGCAGGTGTGGTGGCTCAATTGGTAGAGTACCTGCTTTGTAAATGAGAAGCCCTGAGTTCAAATCACAACCTCACCAAAAAAAAAAAAAAGATCCCAGGCTGGTTTGGAAGCAGATTGTCAACCTAATTGCTTTTATGCTTTTTGTGTATGTACAGGCTTTATCTGGAATGGGACATGTATGGCGAAAGGTCCATACGGTCTGGGTGAACATAGGGGGTCTTCATGCTGCAGTTTATCTTCTGAAACGTACGCCTCAAGTTTTTGTACATTCTTCAGAGGAAGATGAAGTCCTTGGTAATGCAAATAATGAAGATGATTAATAGTGTTTGTACTTCCTAACATTGGAAATGTCAGTGTGAAGAACTTGCTTTGAGGGAAAAATAACAGAAGTACAGCCATACTATTTAAATTATTCCATAGTTCCTCACTTTGGTTAGTGTGAATGTAACATGATACAATTTAAAAAGTATTGAGAAAGAAGAACTTTTGTTTTTAAAACCTCAGGAGTCTAGGTTTTAAAATTTTTTTTTTTTTTTGGGCTTCCATTATGGCATATGGAAAGGCACCTTGACCTAAAGAAAGACAGAGAACACAGTCATAGCATCTTAGGCCATATTTTATTGCCTATGCAGCTTTGTTCTTCAGTAGCTCAGGTTCTTTATCTCAACCTTAAAAATGAAGCATTGTTAACATTTTGCAGTTTACTCCATGACAAGATGAAATGTTATAAAACCAACAGGAAAGTTTACCATCTGCCTTAAAAATTAAAATATGCATCCATTATTCATATTAACATACAGAGCTAAAACAGAGGGCTGGAATTTATGAAAGGACATTTTGTGTCATAATTTTCGTAATTTATGAAAGACATTTCTATGTGTAAATAGCAGCAGAAATATTGGTGGATGAGGTATAGGACCAACAAGCTGTTTTTTTTCTTTCAGTACTCAAAAGGTGTGTTGCTTTTCAAAACCAAAAATAAACCCAAAGTATTGTTATTATCTTGCTGGTTGAAGGATGAATTTAAAAACTGATCTTTGAGAACAGTTTGGGGGCTGGATATAGTAGCACATGGGGGAAAAAAAAGAAATGTGATACCCTAACTGAAAAAAAAGTAAAACTAAAGCAAAATAAGAGGAAAGGGTGCTGAGATCTTGGGTCAAGTGAAAGAACTATTCCTAGCAAGCTGGAGGCCCAGAGTTCAAAACCAGTACTGTCCAAAACAACCTCCTTTCCCAAAAAAACTCCTTAATTTGGGAGTCATGTAAGTTGTTTTTGTTTCTTCCTCCTGAGTCATTGTTCACATTTTATTGCTTTTCCAGTTACAGCTAGTCCCTCCTAAGACAGTTTTATGGAAAATAAAATAACCTCAATATTCATTCAGTCTTTTTAAAATGATGCTTCCTGAGAACAAATAGTTAAGGTTTTATGTGAAATTCTCTAAAGTATTTAGTTTATTTTGAACTATCTGCTTGCACTCAGCTTAGCTTTTCAATGTCATGTTACTAATATACTACTACTACTCGTACTACCCTTTTATGTCTCAGTTTAGACACAGTACTTCCTTTGAAAAAATAGTTTACATTGGCAACGTAGTCAACAACCCCAGTCTGGTTTCAGAACTGCTACCCAACACATGAGAATAAATTGGAAATAAGACATTTATAAAAGCCTGACATTCTAGATTTGTATCTTTACCATAGTCAGAATTCATAGATGTTATTACTTATGGCTTGAACATAATTTTCACCTGTGACAAAAGAAACCATTTAAACCACAAACTAAATTAGGGGCTGATTTACAGAACCAGAAAATACAAAGACCATGTCTGTTTCCACCAACATTTACCAAGTGCCTTGCGTGGCATAGGATCTGCCTGTATGGAACAAATGAATTTTAACATTAGCTTATTTTTCAGTTTTGTGCTTATTTCACTGTAGCTTTAGTGCTGCTAAATACTGCAAAATGAAAAAAAAAAAAAAAAAAACCATAACCAGACTGATTTAAAATGGTACAAATATGTAGTAGGCAATAATGTCATCTTCCTCTCCAGTATATGGTGTTAGTCTGAATAGGAAATGGACTATAAGCATGATTCAGAAGGCCTGGAACTGAGTTTTAAGTGCATTGTTACCTATTTTTATGCCTTTGGTTTTTAACCTTTGAAAGTGGGTCTTTGTGAACCATGGGAAGGAATGTGAGAGGATGGGGAAATGACTGAGTCACACCTTAGACATTTTTCTGTTACAGGGAATGAGTATTTGAGGGGAAAAATGATGTAAACATTGAAAAACACTTTACAAATCTAATGAAAAGGACAGCATACTAGAGGTTAAAAAGGGAATAAATCAGTTATACTTCTTTTAAAATGGCAGTAAGACTTTCAGGAAACTGCCCAAACTGTAGATACTGGCCTGTCATTGTGAGTTCAAGTCTCCGCAGCAAGGACCAAAATATAAGGAAGTTGAAATGAAGTGTGATGTGTTAAGTTTAATGGGAAGATGGGAAAAGAATGAAAACTATTAAGTAAAATCTACTGTATCCTGGTACATTAAAAAAAGTTCATAAGAGATTAACAAGTTTGTATACCAGATTTTAAAATGTGCATGTTAAAAAAAAAAGGTAGCACATTTTTCATACCAGGCTTACACTTACCCTTTTGCCCCCCACCGGGTAACAGGTTTGCTAATACAGCTAATTCAGTGATAGATTTATGGTAGAGAAGCAAATTTTACTAGAGAAGAGCATGCCCATTACCCAAGTCATCTTGGTATAGGAGTCATTTTTAACTCCATTCAGGCATAATGTACATTCTAGCATAATGCTAGAACAGACATTTCCCAAAATTTGTAGCCTCAGGATCCTTCCATATGGTTAATAATAATTAGAATAGCTATGTGGGCTGGAGATGTAGCTCAGTGGCAGAGCACTTGCCAAGTAGCATGAAGTCTTCTTATATTTCTGGCTTTAAAGAAGATAGCTGGATTTTTATTATCTGCATTCAGTTGGCTGTTACTTATTACTCAGGCTTTCATAAGCTCACATATTGGTTAGTTGGTAAGTACTGTATATCACTGAGGTACAACCTGTTGTAAGTTGTCTCCTGAACAGGCTCACATCCTTCAGATTTGAGAAACTGTCTGTCCAATAGCCAGAACTTGTCATTCTTTTAAGTAAAAATGGTGCTCCAAGAAAAGGTAATTCAGCTTACATGAGACAACCATTGTACTTGATGCCTCAGGCAAACTTTTGTTTCACCACTCCTATTAAGAAGTTATGGATTGGTGAAGTGCCTCTGGAGTCAAGAGGGCCTGCCTAGCAAGCATGAGGCCCTGGGTTCAAGCCAAAAAAAAAAAAAAATTGGTGCCAGGTGCCTAGGGGCCCACATCTATAGTCCTAGCTATTTGAGAAGGTGAGCTAGTCTGGGCAAATAGTTTATGAGACTCCATTTCCAAAAGAATGAAGAACAAAATGGACTGGAGGTATGGTTCAAACAGTAGATGCCTGCTTTGCAAGGGAGAAGCCCTGAGATCAAACCCCAGTCCCACCAAAAGAAATTACATATTTAGGGATCTAAAAACTGGCCTTTTTTTCCTTTAACACCACTACAAATGTATGACAGCAAAGAATGACTACACAGTTTGATGCTACTGCCTTAATTTGAGCCAAGGTGTCAGTTTTACTCACTGTTGCCTTTTCATTATTAAGGCAAATGCTGGAGATAACCCACGAGATTAAAATAGTCATTCCACACTCTGTTGTAGGATACATGTTTATTGCAAAATTCTCGGAGTATCTTTGATTACATGATGCTAATGCCCAGCAAACACAAGGAAATAACAAGTCCAGCCATGAAATTTCTGCATTTGAGATACGAACTAGAGTTCATGTCTACACACAAATCAAAGAGGAACTATTACTTTTTGCTTTTCATCCAGCAGATATTCAGTGAATGTGAATTATTGGTTTTTTAAATTTTCTCAGCTATTATGTATGTTTCTCTAGCCAATATAATGCAATAATTTACCCTTTTAGATACTTCGTTTTCATTTAAGGAACATCATACATCTACATTTAAAATATTCAATCATTCAAAACAATAAAACATAGCTGTAGAACATAGCTGGCACCAACACTATTCAGAATTATTCTATTGCTTAAGTCATGCTAAGTTATTTCTAAAGTGCCCTCCCCTACCAAAAAGCTTCCATATTTTCATTTCTTACAGTTTTTCTTTAATCAGTTCTGCTTGCTCCCCCCTTAATATACAAGTCAATCTTGTATATCATTTTTTAACACAGATGGTATAAAAAAAGACGGTAGATTGAACAAGTAATCTTTTCTAAGCCAGTGATCTACTTTAAATATAAGAACAATAAAGTTACTAAATTCTAAAGTAAGTTGGCAGCTTTAAAATTTAGAAGTTTGGGAAAAATATTTAAAACATCATTGCAAAAGACAACAAAATGTACTTCTTATATTTATGCTTAGGCACAAGGAAAACTATGGGATTTTTAAAAAGTTGCATGACATGGAGGATGCACACATTGTAGAAGGCATAACCTAAAAAGGAAGTTAATTTCTAAAACACAAATATTTAAACCTACCTAAAAACTCTGAAACTACAGCACCACTCATCGATACCAGTGAGGTCACGACTAAGTGTTATGTAGCCTCTGCATACTTCGAGGAGAGAAAAAGGCAAACATCTTGGTATTACGAAAATAATTTTGACCTGGAAGTCCTCCCTTGTACTTAGGCAATAAGGATACAGCCAGAAATAGCACTGTCCTGCTCACAAGAAGCAACCTAAAGTAGGAAAAAACAAAGACCAATTACACAATACTATATTAATTACAATTTTGAGATGAGCTATGACAACATTTGTGTGGGGAACACAATACAGCAAGGCTTCCTTGAGAAGTGAGGTTTTGAGACCATTCTCTTCCTTAGTAACCAACATTTGGTCAGACTCTTCATTGTCATTGCCATCACTCATGCCAGATCTTATCATTTCATGTGTATACTTCTGTAAGAATCTAAGTGGTGGTTTTGTTTTCAAATTTCTATATCACTTTTTTTTTTAATGCCGGCATTGGGGTTTGAACTCAGGGCATCATGCTTGATAGGCAGGTTCTCTACCACTTGAACCACTCCACCAGCCCACTTATCCTATATTTGAAAGCCAGAGTAAAAGCCTGTTTCCATCAGAGCAAGGTAATACTACATTTTGGTTAGAAATACCAACTGTTGACCAGTTTCTATCCCTGGAATTTGTCAGTATATCTATGGGAAAGTTGCTGAGCTTTAATTTTCTATGATGTAAAATAGGTTTACACACACACACACACACACACCATATTAAAACAGACTGGTAAAGAACTTAGCACACTACTTTGTACACAAAAGGCACTCAACGAGTATTAATAGTTAAGCTCTTCTAATCTACCTTTTCCCATTAGCTTTTGCCTATAGCATGTACTAGGATATGTTGTGATTATTTGTTATGGTACTTCAATACCTCAAAAGTGTGGAATTTTAAAGAAAGATTAGTAAAAAGAAAAAGTCAGCAAGACTGTTGACTGAGTTGACTGGAATCCATACATAAGGTGGATAAAGTAACCAAGTTAGGTGAGCAAGACTGTTGACTGAGTTGACTGGAATCCATACATAAGGTGGATAAAGTAACCAAGTTAGGTGATAGAACCAATTCTATAAAAGTGATCTCAATGTCAAGAGTTGGATGGTCATGAGTAAGAAAAACCCTTCTGAAAAAGAACACCTTCTAATACAAACTAGCATAGCACTGGGTAAACTAACAAAAACCAAGAATTGTCAACCTGCAAAGCACCAGACTCCTGGATGAATGACCTAATAAAGCACTCTATAGTTAACATTGGTCTGAAATAGTCAAACCTACTTTTACCCTTATAATGTTGATTCCTATCATATTCTGGATCAACAGTTGCAAACTGTAATTATATACTTACTATAAATCTTCATTCATTTAAAAAGCTTACCTAGCTCGAATTTTTCAAACTAAATCTTTTAAAAAAGATCACAAGCTCTGGAAAAAACTTTTTCCAATTTTCTCATTCAAGTTTAGTAAGTTCTTACACTAGAAATATAGGAAATACTAGGGTACTAATTCAAAAGGAGATAGGAAGCTGGTTTATTTAAACAAACAAAAACCCAAAGGAAGAAAAGCACAGGAAGAGGATAACTCCAATGGTTAGCACAGGAAACACAAGGAAGAACTTGACTGGTGGACAGATGTACTCAGAGACCAGAAGGCATCAGTTTCCTCTGTGGTTAAATATAATCCTAAAGGTTCTGTATGAAAGGAGCCTTGTTTCTACGTTTGGGACCTTAAAATACCATTTGTAAACCAATTTCACTAATCAATAAAACCAGTATTTATTGAGTTTGCTCTCTTACTTAGGAATCACTGAGGATCAAAAATCCTCTGTATGTAAGACTTGGGAATCTGCATTAAATAACAAGACAACGGTCTACAAAAGGTTAGAAGGTAACTGTCCTAAGGATCACATAATCTAAGGAGAAATTTTAACTAAAAATAAAACACCCGCTAAGGTCTTCTACAAGATGCTTTATTAACAAATCTAAAAGCATTTTGATGTTAACGAACTGGCATTAATTTATACTTTCTCCTGATGAAACTAGATGCTTAGGGCTCCTGTGATGAAGTTTTTCCCCAAAATGAAAACCGTGGGACTGAAATTTAGGACTAGGGGTTCATTAATATCAGGTATAATCCTACTCATTAAACTTGTAGCTTTTGATTATGAACCTCCTTTTATGGTTTAATGAAATCTCACCTTCCAAATTTTTTTGAAGTCCAAATGAATAGCACTTGCTTTCTCAATACACTGTTGTCCAAGGCAAATTCATATTTAGTAGTAGCCTGTCAGATTTAGCTTTTGGCTAAATATAGTTGAAGTATAGAAATAACTTAAAATGAGCCTTTAAATGGCTGTTGGTGGCTCACAACAGTAATCCTAGAGACTCAGGAGTCAGAAATCAGGAGGATTGTGGTTCAAGGCCAGCGTGGGCAAAAAGTGAGACCCTATCTCAAAAATACCCAACATAAACCCAAGTATCACCAAAAAAAATTTTTTTTTTTCAATTAAATGGTAGCTGTGGACATGAAGCGGTAGAGCATTTGCCTATCTAAGTGTGAGGCTTGGAGTTCAAACCCTAGTACTGCCCAAAATGGGAGGGGAAAGGTCCAACTTTGCTATTTACTTAATGTTCAGTATAAGAAAAAATTATCAATGTCCATATTAGGTATTCTTTAATCCACAACACAAGTTTGCAATTACTGCTACACTGTCTGCAGTGGCAATTTAAGTAAAATTTTAACTACTTAGTCATACAAGCCACATTTCTACTGTTACTATATTAGAATAGCCTAAATACAGAGTACTTCCATGATTACTGTTCAGTAGAACTTGTGTTGTAGACAAAAGGAAACATGCAAAGTGAAAGATTAATAAAACATCAAGAGAATGACCTCAAGAACCTCAGCACTGTTAAACACATGTAAAGTCAGCAGTGACATGTGAAGTGCTAAAGTTCAAGCAAGTACAAACTGCTGAGAGGTCAGCTGAAAGCAATGCTAACTTTTAACACTGTAATCTGGCTCATAGGACAACAGCTCAAAGATGACATTTGAATCTTAAGCAGTCTTGATGAGTAAGGAGCATTAGGGGTAACAGTCCAGAAGGAAGGCTGAAGCATGAAGACCTTCCAGGGGAGACTGTACTACATAGTGGTACTATCTCAAAAAAAAAAAAAAAAAAAAATGTGGAGGTTAGCCCATTGAGGGTCCTTGTGTATCAATTTCATAAAAATGGAATTTATGCTACTAGTAGTAAGGAGCCAGTAGAGAACTTTATCTGTCATTTCATGCTGTAGCCATGCTTTAGGATGTCCTGGCTGCATGTATGTTGCATCAGAAGACGACACTGAATGCAGACATCAATTCACAGGCCCACCATACAGGAAACTGAACTCAGTTACTAACTGATAAGAACAGAAATGGATGACGTGAGGTATTCAGAGGAGAAATGGACATGTTGCTGAACCTCATGTCCAATTGTTAATTAAGCAGTAGTCAAAAGTACTCTGTGGTGCACAGTGGCCCAGGAGCAGAACCCCAGCTGAGAAAGAACCCATTAAGTGAAAAAGTAAGCATTTAACAAAGTGCACTAATGAGGAATAAAAGCACTGCTGGACAACGAGGCCCCAGCTCAGGCCTCAATTTGTGGTGGAACCTATCTGTCTGGTTTCATGACTCACAAGGCTACTGAAGATCAGGAGGTGGAGAAAGTGCTATATCTAGGGACTGGATGAGCCAGTTCAAATGAAGAATGGGACCTAAGTATTAGTGAGAGTGCTAAAATTCCTGTTGGTAGGAATGGAAGAGCAGGAGAAAGAGAAAAATGGAGGGAAGTTAGGACAGAAACAAAGACTAAAATCTGACTAAATTTTAACCTGAGATGGTATGCTTTGATGGTGTAGCAAGGGTCCCAAGTAAACTGAGTATAAGACTCGGGTGCTCATGCCTTCAGTCTACAGGAAAAATGACCCCAAGAGATCCTGCAGTCTCACTGCATAGAATTAACCCCAGATGAATGCCTAGGCTCCACTTCCCTATTATGATTACCTCCTGACACAAACTGACATCTGTGGAAGTCTCACCCCTCAAATACCACACCTGTTCAATTGTGCAGGACAACGCCCAGGCACCAAGTTATGGCCCTTAAGCCTGGCCAAAAGAATCCCGCCCATAATCGAGAAGCAACTCGACATGGAGGCGATGACGAGATCACCAAGGGGGAAGGGGAAGGGATTCTTCTAAGCCTTGGGGCGGTCCTTAGCAGACAGGAAGCAGCAGAGAACTCCCAGGAAGGTATTGCGGCACTCCTCCCCCTGCGGAGAAGGGTGCGGCCTCCCCTCCGCCTTTTCCACTGCAGATCCCCGTGGATTGCACCTCCGCCCACAAACCAGCCCGACCGACCCTCTCTCCTGCCCTCGCCTCCACGGGTGCCAGGAGCAGGTCGGGCACGTCTACCCCTGCAGCCGCGGGGGCCGGAGGCGGAGCCGCGGTGACCACCACCCAGACTAGGCCGGCAGCCCGCCCCCGCCTCCAGCGCGCGCTTCCTGCCACGTTGCGCAGGGGCGCGAGGCCAGACACTGCGGTTCTGGGCCTCAGGGAGGGCCGTACCAACGGCCGCCTCTCCCCACCCCCGCCGGCCCGCGCAGTGGTTTCGTTCGTTTGGGACTCGAGCCAATGGCAAAGGTCCGTTCTTCGGCACTCAGGAGCCAATCAGACACCGAAGTCGGGCTGGCGGCGGGTAAACCGACTCCCCCGTAAGGGAGGGTGGGAGGACGCCCGCGCGGGAACCACTTTCACTGACCCTCCCTCCCCCGCAGGACCGCGCCCGCACGTCCAGCTCTCCTCACCCCACCTACCTACCCGCCCCACCCAGGGGGCACTGCGAGACGCCGGGCGGCTGCGCACTCCCCAGGCTGTAACTGACAGGCCCTTTACTCCAACCAAAACACGCCATTTGTGTTTTCACACACGGCGGGAGCAAAAGCCGCCAATCAGTGACAAGAAACAAGCCGGAAGAGCTCCTCCCTCTGCGGGAGCAATGGCTCCGTCTGGTTCCGAGCCTTTTCCGCTCCGTTCTCCCTCCCTTTTCCTTCCCCCTCCGGTTGCCGCAGGGAGGGCCGCACTCCCTCATCTATCCAGCTACCCCCTTTCCCTTCCAAAAGAACAAACGTTACATCTCCGACATCCCGCGATAGAAAGCGACTCCCCCAACCACAGTCAATCCACCTTAGCCACCCATCCCCCGCCCCCCCACCCTCCCCCCGCCAGCCCACCAGACCTCCCTCCCACCAGAGTCCCGCTCCCCTACCTAGCCGAGGCTCTCTGAGGAGCCGGGGCTCCAGAGCACAGCCTCTTCTCTAGGCGGCCCGGGCTGCTTCCGCTGATTGGCGGCAAGTTGGCCAATGGGTGCGGGGCGGTGGGCGGAGGGGCCAATGGAGCGGCGGGAGGGGGCGTGTCCCGGGTGCCCCTGGCGCCGGCGTTGGGAATCCCCGTGCGGTCAGTGGCGTTTCCGCTCGGGCAGCGGGCTGAGTGAGCTGCCGCCGCTGCTGCCGCCGCCGCCGCCGGGGGAGGGGCGGCCGCCGCCCGCCTGCGCTCAGAGACTCACGCAGCCCCAGTCCCGCCAGTCCGCCAACACAGTAGTGCCGGCCCCCTCCTTCCTTGGCCCTTCCCCCTCCCTGCCTTTGGCTCGCTCCGCCTTTCTGTCCCCCACCCCCACCTCACGGGTACGGGCCATTCCCGGCCAGGAAACGCCGTGGCGCCGCGTTGGGCCTAACTCGAGTCTTGCTGCCTCCCGGGAGTGCCGTGCGCCGCAGCCCGGGCCCAGGCCCCGGCAGCGCCTGGGACAAGGTAAGGGTCCGATAGGAAAGAGACACCGACCCTCAACGACCGGGCCCCGAGGGAGGAAGGGTCACCTCCTCCGTCCGTCTCCCCGCGCTCGCTCTGCCCGGGACGTGGGCCTGGCCCTCCCTAGGCTCCCAGCGGAAGGATGCTGACCCTTCTTGTGCCCTCGCTCTCCCCACACACCGTTGCACCCCTCCCTCCCAGGGGGAAAGGCTCCCTCGAACTGAGTCGACCCCACTACCCTTTCCACGTCTTTCCTGGGTCCGGACGCTTCCCCTCCCCCACGCCTCGCTCCCCCTTTCCTCGGAGCAGCCTCTCCACGTTTACCTTTTAGTTGAGCATAGGCCTCTCGCCGCCCTCCTCTAAATGCACGAGTGTACTTCTTTTTTTCCCTTTCCCCGAACCCCCACCTCCACCCCGGTTCCCGAGGCCTTGTGACAACTCTGATCGCTCTGGACCCCCCTTCCTCCCCCCATCTCCTCCCCATAATCTTCCTGGACGCCTTCCCTCTCTCGTTTTTGGGTCCCCATCTCAGATGGCTGCTGCTTTTCCCACACCAACGACGATCGCCTTCGCCACCCCCAACCTCACATTCTTGAGCTCCCTGTGGCGTATGCCCAAGTCCTGAGATACAGCCCTGTTGAATTTGTAGGGTTCCAGCCTGGAATAAGAGCCAGATTTTGTCGTTTTCCCTGCCTTGGGCGTGGGGAGCGATCTTTCTGAGATTGTCTATAAAAGACAAAAATTTTACCCTTTTTGAATTCTCCCTTTTCCCTCTGCGTGCAAGCCAAGATGTGAAGTGCATGGTGGTGGGAAAAAGCTCTGGTTTAAGTTGGTGAATCGCGTGAGAGGGAAAGTTTTAACTGCTGGGAAAGCCCCTTCTGTGCTAATTAATTCTATAGAGCCCCTTCGCCTGCCTCACTTGTTAGGAGTAAGTGGTCTTTTTCTCTGGATACTGATGCTGCAGCCAGCAGTGCTGGTCTGGGTCAGGGGTGCGTGTATGACCTGCATTTTCTGCTTTCTCATGTTACTTGTGCAATGTGTTCACCAGTAACTCATTTCTTTCCCAGAGCTCTGAGTTCCACTGGGCTTTGTCTATACCTCAGTTCATTTCTCCAATTTTCCTTGTGGTCAGAGTACTGAAAGAATTCCCATGTTCTGTTCTAATTTCCTTCATCTCTCGACTAAACAAGTTGTTTTTAGATGGCATATTTGTGACCAAGGTCATATTTACATTTCTTCGTTGGGCATGTTTCATAGCTATACTTTTGATGAGGGAGGAGGATCCAGGTGAGCGTTAAGAGTTTTTCAAGAGAATGTGTGTTATATTTTGGGGAAAAAGTATTTTTGATGGTTAATTTTACATTAATGCTTTTAGGTCACTGAGAGAAAAGTTATAGGCGGTAATTTTAGATGTGTGAAATCTGAGCTAGTATTAAAGTAGAGAATACTCATAATCAGAGGTTTGAGGGCCCAGTACTTTTTTTTTCACAGGACCATCCAGTTTTTCACAGGATCATTAGTTCTTTTGGTAGTCAAAAATTCTGGCCCGTTATGAGATTAGTCTTTAAGGTTTATTCAGTCTCGTTCTGAGTTGAAAATTAATTATGTCCTTTGGTAGGACATGAGACAAGAACTCTTACTTCTAGCTGCAAATTTAAATCTGACTCTTGAATCTTGGAAAAATTGGCATTCTGAAGACCCCAACTTAATATCTTTACTCCCAAATTACTGGTTTAAAACAAATATTTGGTAAGTATTGGCTTTTCTAATAAAAGACCTAAATTTAAAAGGGTGACCTTAAGATTGTTTCTTCCTAAAAGCATTATTCCAGCCCTTCTAGCATGAAACCTTGATACAAAAAAAAAAAAAGTGTAAGGAGTGGGGGTGGGGTAAAGAGAAGGTTGTTCCTGTGTTGGATCACAGGGGTGAGTATACAAGGCAGCAGCAGCTGCTGGCTCTGGAGCTCTGGTTGCTACGTGAGAAGCTTGAGTAGTGCTGGCTGCTGTCTCCAGGGAAGGACAGCAGTGAAGCGTCCATTAATGCTGTTGGCTGCAGGGAGCTGCACTTAGGCAGCGATGGCTGCTTCAGGACTATGAAGAAACCTTGCTTTCCTGGGAATTTTTACTGCTGAGCTGGTTTGCCTTTTATTGGTGGGGATACCAGAATTAGCAATTCATAATCGTCTATCCATTTCTGGGTATCAGCATCTGGAAACTGGATTATAGTTAAAGACTTCTTTTTTTTTTAATTTTGGGGGGCAGATTTTTTTTATCTGGGGTTTTGTGCTTGGATAGGATTAAAAGTTCCATTAGAGTTTTGAATTTTGAACCCATTTAAAACAGAAGTAGTAAGAATAAAAACATCTTCCTGAGAACCAGATTGGGGGAGAATTGTTTCTTTTTGGTTTTGTAGGGTTTTTCCCCCTGTAACTGCTATGTTTTCCTCCATCTCTTTAGTCATTGAGTCAGTTTTCATTTTATTGTTGTGTGTCTCCTTCCTTCCATGTTAGGCAATATTTACTTTATTGAATAAATGTTTTGTTAGACATTTTACTAAACTTGGAATCTTAAACACTGTAAAAAAAAAAAAAAGCTACCATTTTTGGAGTGATATGTAACTATACATTTTTAATTTCTGATTAATGTATAGACATCTCCAGATTAGATATTTTCTTTAGTGCTTGACATTCAAATTTCAATCATTATACATGTGTTGTACATAATCTTCTGACATCACAAAGTTGTATCTTTGGCTGTAATCCATCTGAAATACAGGACAAACCAGAAGGGATTTTCAGAAATTGAGCAAGTCTAGTTCAGGATATTAAGAACACAGCCCAAGTCCTTTACTGAGTTTGTAGTCTCCCCTATCGCACAACTCCTGAATGTTAAGATGATTCTCTTTAAGCAGAACAGTCTGTCAAATGTGGAAGTACTTGAAAGAGAACTACCGCCCACATATACCACCAATTACATGCAGTACATGCAACACATATGCCCATGGTTGGGATTTTTCCCTCCTAAGATTCTCTTGCTGCAATCTGTACCTTTTTTCCCTTCAGATTTTTTTTCCTATAATTTGTAGTATGATTCTGACATTTGTGTCAGGGGACAAAAAAAGAATGAAAAGCATTTTATTGTTTACAAATGTTCATATTTTCACAGTGATAAAAGCAGACCTATAAAATAGTACCTTTAATGGATAATATTTTAGGGGTTCTAATTCTTATTGCTATCACATACATAAGATGCTATGTCAGATAAATATGATTTCACTCATACTGTCTGATATACTTAAAGTTTACAATGCAAATGTTTTTAGTTTAAATTACTATGTTATAAGCGATACTTTACAAAATAGTTACTTTTTGGAACTGGTTGTGATCTCAACATGATCATTTTTTGAAGGCTCATAGAGGCCCTTTTCCTAGAAGGATTAATTGAACTCACATGTTTGAATTTTTTTTTACATCTTTTGATCCTGTTTTATGTCCAGGGATTTGCATACTTTCTCAAATTCTCCTGGCCCTTTTAAGAAGAGTGGCTATCTCATTTTTGCCTTTGAATGGGAAAATAATATAGTACAGAATGCAGCTGTGCAGATAACCACTTTTTTTTTTTTCTTTTCCCCATTACTGGGGATGGAACTCAGGGCCTTGCACTCTCCCACAGAGCTACAATCCCACCCCTGCAGATGATCACTTTTGTTTTATCCTCTTTATGTTGAAATAACTTGTGAAACACAGGCCATAGTTAGCAAACTGGATCAAGTAGAATAAAATGTTGCAACTTGGTTGAATTCTGGTAAATTTATCATTTAATTTGAAATTATAAGGCCTAACAGTGAACTTAATTTATAAAAATTGTGTTTCAGGTTTTGAAAACTAAAATTTCTTCATAGGATATCTTTAAGACATAAACAAAACTTAGTTTGACTTTGCAAAATAGGGTAATGTATATATAGTAATACCATGGGTAATCATTTATAATTTGATTAAATAACACTTTAGAAGTGCTCCTCAGAAAATGTGTAGCATACATATAATAGGAATTGCTACTATTCCTTACTACTACAGATTCCAAAGTGTGTGGTGAAATGGCATTTTAACCGCTTGATGTAATGATTGATTTCTTCAGTGGTTAAAATTCATGGAAGGTCATGAAAGGTAAAGAGAAAAATCATTGCTTTCACTTATCTGTACATATATTGTTAAATCACTTAGCCTTACAAAAATTGTCTTGTATATTCAGTTACAAATTGGAAAAAGAATACCCAATAACTTTGAGGGGTGGTCCTGTTTGGAATCATCACTTTAGAAAAGTCTCTTTACCTGATAAAATATGTTCAAAGTCTTAACCTTTAATTAGGGGATCTCTGAGATATAAAAAAGTAACAATGAAGCTAAGTCTCACTCTAGTTTATATGTACCCTTACTAGGCAGGGAATTTGTAATCCCATTCTGCCTCATTCAGTTTTCCATCATAGTGATTTTTGCTGAGCACCTAGGGGACTGCCTTGCTTAATGTAAAGGCCTATTAAGTAGCTTTGATATAAAGACAGGAAAAATGAATTTTCTGCTTTTTGGAATCTCAGTATTTTTGAAACACTAAGATTAGTGACTGCTTTTGCTTGATGCATGTTTGTTTCTCTTCTGTGCCCTGTCTTCCCTGTAGTATGAGGATTCCCAGAGTTTTGGTAGCAAATTGAAGTCATAATGACTTCCTTAGTCATATTAGTTACATATCCACACCCAGAGCTAGGGATACTTTTTGGCCTATATTATGAGTCACAAAAAAGCATTAGCTATAGAAATTTATACAGAATTTCTGTCTGGGGAATTGAATGAAAATGCTGAATTCCTTGCTTCTCTGTTTGAGAAATGGAAGCATGGGAGGAGCCTGAGACCTCTGCAGCAGGATTTGGTCTGAGTAGAAAAGGAAGATTTTTGTTTCAAATTGCCAGCTGCTTATGTCAGACTGACTCCCTTATTATGCCTCCAGTAAGCCTGTCAATATGGCCAAACAGCTAGATAAGTGCAGGGCAGGACAAAGGGCTCTTTGCACAGCAGGGAGGCAGTGACTGTGGGGGAGGGGCAGGAGATAGGAAAAGCAGGAGAAGGTTCTTTTTCCTGGGAGGTTATTCACTTTGGCATACAGTTAAATAATTTTTAGTTCCCATTTGAGCACTGAATTTATGCCAAGCGTATACTGTTAACCCCAAATTTCATGTATTCCAGAATATCTGGTAGAAATTCATCCTCTCTTCCAAGGGAAAAAAAAAAAAATCACTAAATTTTTGTATGGGTTGAAATAAGTTCCATGCTCCCTGCTCTCCAAAATACAAGTCACCTCCTGAGTAGATCAGGTCTATAGCTTCTGGCAGACAAATTGTATTAAGAAATGGAAAGGAATATTCTATCTGAGTAAAATTCATATTTCAATAAATAACTATTTATTTGGGTTGAGATTCAACCAAAACATGTTAAGTAATGTATTTTCCTTTATGAAATAGTTGTATATTCTAGCTTGCTTTATTTCAGAAACAGGGAGAGCACCATTCAGTATTCATGTGTTGAGTCACCATCATGTAAAATGCCTACCGAAGAAGAAAGACTACTTATTGTTTCAGCCTCATCCCAATTTCCTGGAGAACTTGATATTCCCTGCAGATTATTCCCTCCCACACCTTTTAGGCTCAGCCCTATTTGGTATGTTTTTACTTAGCCTCCAACTGAGGTGGGATGCTTGCATACAGCTTATTAAACTTAGTGGTAATTAACGGAGTTAAAAATGCTCTATAGATTTTCTGACCCGCTAAAACAGAATCATGAAATATTTTCAAATCTGGGTCCCTTTTGAAGTTTTCATTAAAATGTTAAAAAGATCAACATCGTGAACAATATTTTTAGCTACTTTTAAAATAAATGTCAAACGTGACATGTATGCCAGTTCTTTTTAAAAAGTAAAGAATTGCATTCACAGATAACATTTGTTTTGTGAGGCAGTATCTGAAGAGGCTTATATCCTTAATGTATTTTAAAGAATTTAATTTTTAGAAATAATTGATTTTAACTCAGTTTTCTAAGAGCACATCCGTTGCTTGAATGAGATACCTACCACCTGTATTACAATGTTATTAAACCAGCCTTAACAATAATAATAATAATAATAAAGGGAACTAGAACGTAATTTCTGTAAATATTGCTGTTAATACATATTGTACTAGTAAGCAAAGCTAAGTTTTGTGTCATTTACTTCTTTGATAAAATAAAAATGTGTAACCCACATAATATTTTTATTTCCTTTTTTTTTTTTTTTTTTGGTAATACTGAAGTTTGAACTCAGGGCCTACATCTTGAGCCACGCTACCAGCTCTTCTCTAGGTTGAGTACCTTCAAGATAGGGTCTTGAAGCCACCCGGGCTGGCTTCATCACTGCTCCTTATCTCTGCCTCCTGAGCAGCTAGGATTACAGGCATGAGCCGCTGGCACCCAGTTCCCACTTAACGTTTTTAAGTATTTTGACCTGAAAAAGGAAATTTCAGTAACTATCACTGCCATTATTTAGAAGTTTCTCAACAGTAAAATAGCAACAGCATTAACATGAAATTTTAGTGAGCTATGTTATATATTGCTATAGAAATTTTGAGTATTCATTTCTTCTCTTTTCTAATCAGTTCCCATGGATTATTTACATAGATTTGTGGAGCTAAAAAAAAGTCATCTAGTTCAAGTTCCAATCTCTACCAGATAGTTACTGCTACTTTAGGGTAAACATCCTTTTTACCCTTCCCAAATAATTAGAAATCTCTATTATAAAGCATGGCTCCTATCTCTAAAGCATGTTGCTTCTATTAGCTGAATTCTGCTAAAGGCCTTAAAAAGTTCCTGGCAAAAGTGAGTAGGGGATCACATTATCTTGAGCCCAGAGGTTTTCATAGCTCTTGGCTCCCCAAACAGCTAATTTGATTTTCAAGAATACCTAGCAAGCAGTAGAATGGAATGGAGGTAATACATAAACCCTGTACCTCATGGAGCCTATGCAGCTGCTCCACCTTATTTCCTGCTATTATTATCCCCCTATGCCTCTCCCAGCAAAAAAAGAAACTAGGACAAAGGGAGAAAATTGGATGGGCTACTGTGATTTTTTTATTATGGCTGTGTGGTGGATGTGTTTATATGCACTTCAATATGAAGCTAATTTGGTCTATTCTTGTAATTCTGTAGTGATAGAGATTTTATAACTTTGGTGTCCTTCACTTTCTTGATAAACCATTTCAGAGTATAAGCCTTAAAGAAAGGTTTTTAAGCATACTTAATTTTCATTGACTCACCATCATTATCACTAGATCTCACTGGGTTATTAGCTTGAAGATGGAATCCCTTCTGTAGATAATATTTGCAGTTCTATTGGAAATTATTAGCTTCTGTTTATTTGGGTTTATGATTAAAATAAAATTTAAAAATTTAAACCTTTGCATATGTTGGCCACTTTACCTCAGTGGGGATGAAATTAATTGTTCGAATAAGAAATTTTCAGGCCTGTTAGTTCATCAAGCTGCTTAATTTATGTTCTTTAAGCTTTTCTTTATACAACACAGCTCTCCAAAACAAGAAATTTAATTTTTATTGTCTTCGGATGCCGAGATTTTCCCTTCCCTGCTACTGAACTGTAAAGATTCAAAACCCAGTAATTTAATAAAGTGTGTGCCCACCTGAATATAGTAAGGTGATTATTCCATAGATTCTTAGACACCTCATGCACTGGTTAGGATTTTCTAGTATCATGTTGGTATATTTGATGATGTTGATATGCTCATTTTAAAACAAGTCCAAGAAGGTTTGTTTTTTTTATAATGGTACTCATTGTGCCATTATGTGTTAGGGGAGTTTTGTTGTTGAACTTTTTCCCCCTATCTCCATGTTTTCTTATTTCTGTCTTCTTAGGATCATCAGCCTGCATCGAAAAATTCTGTTTCCTACCACCAAGCTTTGTGCATGTCACAGCACATATAATTTGTACTTTTCATAGCTTCTGTGAAGGAAGTTGATCTGCAGTTAATAATCAACCATTTGGCCTTCGTAGTATCCAATGAGGGTTTTACTTACAAAGAAGAACCTGGAAGGACCTGTTGGCAATTAGAGTGCCTCTGTATTGGTATTACGTTTTCTTTTATTGTGGGTTGTTGAGAGTTGACTTGTTCTATGAGAAACTAGCTAGAAAGGGAAAATCCACAGGGGGGAAAAAAGGCCACTTAAAAAATATATGTTTATTATAACATTTGTGATAGAATCAAAATGTCACTTTTTATTTAAATTTTTTTGTGGTTCTGGGAATTGAACCCAGGGCCTTGCTCATGCTATGCATGCCATCCACCACTGAGCTGTACCATTTTACAAATTTTATTTACTACAATTTTATTTGTTTTATTTTATTTACTACAAATTTTATTTGTAGTAAATAGAAATCGAATGCATAGCTTAATAATAGAACAAAATAAGGGCAGGTTGAGGATGTGAAGGCACATTTTTAAGATGAGACTAAAAGTTGTAGGGTCTACATGCCAAATTATTAGGTATTTTTATATTTCTGCTACTTTCATGGAAAACCGTTAAAAATAGCTGGGTACCAGTGGCTTATGCCTATAATCCTCCATACTTGAGAGCCTGAAGTGGGGAAGATCACCCTTCTAGGCCAGCCTGGGCAAAAGACCTTCATCTCAATAGAAAACAAAACAAAACTGGGTGAGGTGGCGTGCTCACTCAGGGACATCTCAGTGACAGTAGGAAGCTTAAAGTAGGAGGATCATGGTCCTGGCCAACCTGGGCCAAAAGGGAGACCCTTTCTTCAAAATTGCCAGAGCAAAAAGGGCTAGAGGCATGACTCAGGCAGTAGAGCCCCTTCCTAGCAAATGGGAAGCCCTGAGTTCAAACCCCATACCTCCAAAAACAAAAACCCTTTAAAAACAAAGTGGCTCAAAATATACCCAGGTTAAATGGATAGGGTGGCACAGTATATATGTTATATTAATAATAGCTGATATTTACTAAATTTCAAAAAAAATGAAAATTACTGCTGAGAAGGAATCTGGCTAGGCCACGCTGGGGTCCCCTGGGAAGGACATGTAATTTTAGAAAAGCAAGGCACTGGGTAGGTTAGCCTTCCTCGTATAGTTTATCATGAACAGTTAGTATGGAAAGGAATGGCTGAAGGTTTGCATAGTATACACGGCAAGAAGAAGAGAAGATATATTGCACTTAAAAAAGTGCATGCCAGCCAAGAAATGGAAAGTAATTTCTTTGTAGTACACGTTAGTTTTTCTTAACTCTGTAATACTAGTGAGTGTTTGTATGGAAGATAGTTGCCTGAAGGATTGAGCTGAATATCTTTTATGAAGTTTTTAAAAAATGAATCTTATATTGGACAGTCCTGGTATATGCCTACTATGCTAGCATAGTGATAGCAACCCTTTCTTTCTCAAAAAGTGTCTCATATTGAACCATAAGTTATACAGGGAACTTTTATTCCCTATCTATAAACCCGGTTTTTCTTCATAGATTTCTGATTTAGGAGTCGCCTGTGTGTATCTTGGCCTCTGTTTTAATCTCCTATTTCCAAAAGGGCAGGTTTTAGAGTGCCTTTTCCTTTTGGTTAATAGTATGAGAAAGGGTAAATACAGATTTGATTGATTTTGATTTTTTTATTATGAAAAGGCCCAAATAAAACAATAGAAAATGGACTCCCTTAGGATAGTTTAAAATACTCCATTTGAGGGGTGGTAGGTGTTGCTCAGTGGTAGGGTATATGCTTGGCATGTGCTTAGCGTGCATAATTCAATCTCTAGTGCATGTGCATGCATACACACAAATCCATTTGATCAAGATAAGGGCCTTACATTGCACTTGATTAATAAATTTTAGTCTTTATAGGTTCTACCTCTGTGTGCGAGGTGGGTAATTATAGTGTGGTACAGTATAGTAACTAAAATTAGTTTTGTAGAACTCCTACTCTTTGGGGTTTTTTGTTCGTTTGTTTTTGTTTTTCTGATACTGGGGTTTGAACTCAGGGCCTATGTTTTGAGCCACTCCACCAGCCCTTTTTTGTGAAGGGTGTTTTTGAGATAGGGTCTCATGAACTGTTTGCCCAGGCTGACTTTGAAACAAGATCCTCTTGATCTCTGCCTCCTGAGTAGCTGGGGTTACAGGCATGAGCCACTGGTGCCCAGCAAAAATAAAAAAAAATAAAAAAAATAAAATTTTTTTTTTAAATGGTACTGGGGTTTTAATGCGCACTTGCTAGGCAGGTGCTATACCACTTGAGCCACTCCACCAGGCCTGGGTTTTAAAGACTAGATTCTCATTTAATATAGTCCACTATTAGATGACATCCCTGTCTACATTTCATATAAATTAGTGATTTCATTGCAAGCATACTTGATAATGAGTTTCATAGTATTCATCTGTTGATAATGTCATGTTTAGCAACTGTTGATACTCATTATCTAGATCAACTGTGTTCATACTTTATGGTCTTAAAAATTGAAGATCCTCTTATTAACAATCATGGATTGGTAATTTAGCAACCTCCAAAGTAAAGTAATAGTACTGTGTATTTATGGTTCCATGTTTAATTTGTTACCGTCTTTTGCTGCTGCTCTTTTTTACATTCAGATTGTACTGCCTTTGGCTGTTGGCTAAGTCCTTTTGATAAGTTCCTAAAAGTTTTCTCGCTTGTTTCCTTGCTTTCTAATACAACAAGATGTTCCAGGATCATTTTGTACATGTTCTACTCCACACCTAGAAGCAACCACTTCTGCAAAAATCCCTGAATTTTGGGTTTTTTTTTGTTTGTTTGTTTTTACTTTTTTTCCCAGCACTAGTAATTGAACTCTGGATTTTTGCACTTGAGAGGCAAATGCTCTACCACTTGAGCCATGCCCCCAGCCCGCTTTTTAAGACAGTGCCTTACTACATAGCCCTTGTTGTCCTGCCTCAGTCAACACACCTAGCCCTAGTTCTCTTAATAGTAGAGACCATAATCTGGGTGCTGGGAATGTTCATTGTTCTTGGATTAGTCCTTGTCTCTAGACCTTTTCAGTGGTCAGAACTTTAAAAAGTTTCAGCCAGTTACAGATACTTGAGAACTTCCATTTCAGATTCAGTACCACATAACATTTATGTAAGCTAATCTTTCCCTTTTCCCCATGCCTGAGTCCCAGCTTCTACTAACACCAACATAATTTTTCCTTACCTCGTGCCACAGTAACACTCAGAACAGTTTCAGAATAGTAAAACGATACGATTGCTGAAAAGTGTTTTATTTCTTAATTTTTTTGTCCTTAGGACATATCCATTTAGGTTAAATTGTGAAATTACTGCATATAGTTCTTCTCTATTTGGTTATGCCAGTTAATTTGTTTCATTTCACTTTCAGATTTTTTTCAGCAATTTTTATTTTTAGCAATTAATTTTTAATTACTAAGTGAAATTTTCAAAACTGGATATAGTCAAAAATTATCTAGCTTCTATCCTAATGTTTTCTACCCAATTCTGTCCCTGTCCTATATGTAAGATTGACATATTTATTATGAATATTCATGATGATATTTTGTTAATTATACTTCTGTTACAACACAAGAAGCATTTAGTTTACTTAAAACTTTTTAAATAAATAATACATAGTACATAGTTTTATGCCATGGAAGGGGAACATGGATTTTTCTTGTTTTGTTTTTTAGAAACTTTGATTTCTTGACTTAGTGTTGTCAATATGAGATAAGAAACTTTTCTCTAGTAAAAATTCTCTCTCTTGTAATGCTGAATCATATTTGTCTCCCTCTGATGATTTCAGGTACACTTAACACTGATGCTACTTATAAGAGAGAAAGATCATCAATTAACATTTCCCGAATGTTTCACTTAGACTTGAAATTTAGGTATTATTTATAAAGGATGTCATTTGTTTTTTAACTTTGTTATTAAAAGTTTTAAATAAACTTAAATCTTTAAAGGTAAAAATAAAACCTGTTAGTCTGTTGTATTCTTGTTCACTATAACATCTTAAAAGTTACAATGTCATACTTCAGTAGTATGTCAAATTCTAATGTGATGTGGGCTGAAAATATTAAGTCAGAATATGGCAAATAGTGAGAAATAGTGATCAATAAGAACATGAGAGTTCTGGATTTGGATGGATCTTGATTCATGTTCTAGTTGTGATTTTCTCATCGAGTTTCTTGGCAAGTTGAATTCTTTGGTCTAATAGGAATAGTATCTTCCTCATAAAGTTGTTGTGGGCATTATGTGAGCTGATGCACATAAAGTAATCAAAAAAACAGTGACTGGTACAAAATAGCCATCCACTAAATTTTAGCTTCCAAAATTGGAAGTTGGTATAACTGCTATGAATATTTGATCAATCCATGGATTATATGAAAAGAACTAATTGTTAATAAAGAAACTGAAATTTGTTTGAGGCCTCTGACTTTTTTGAGGTTCTGGCGATTGAACCCAGGGCCTTGCGCATTTTAGATCCTAGCTTTTTTTTAATCGGTAAGTATGTGCTGTGCTACTGAGCTACATCCCCAGCCCTTGGTTGTTTGAGTCAGGGTCTCACTGTGTAGCTCAGGCTGTCTTGGAACACATAATCCTCCTTTTGCCTCCCAAATGCTAGGATTACAGACATACTTCACCATACCTGGTAAAGCCTCTCATTTAATAAATATACCACTACTTACTGTATAAATGTAATCACATTTAATAGACAAAGGAGTTTTAAGGAAGCAAAGCTTTTCAGTCTTCAAACATTAGAAATGATAATCTTTAAAGCAGCTTTAAGGCACCATTTTGGTTGATCAGAGTTATAGGATTCTTTTAACTCTAGAAATTTAGCATCCACCTGGATTGAACTCAGGGCCATGTTTGCTAGGCAAGCACTCTACCACTTGAATCACATCTGCATCCTGAGATTGCAGTAAGATTGAAGAGTTCTAAAATGAATTTAGATTGTATGATAGTATTTTAGATATGGGAATGGGAGTTGCAGTAAAGGACAAAATTGTAGACTAAAGTCTCTCCTGCCCCTAAAAAAACCTAGAATCTGCAATGCACGTATTTTTTAAAATAATCTTGTAGAGGTACATGCTGAAATATTTAATT